TTCAAAGAGTTGTCATTAACCGTAGGTACGAAAAATTCCTGATAAACCTGAACTTGGACCTTTCTCCACATTCTCGAGAAAAACTTTTACTCTGCACATCTGCAGTTTTTCAGGTAAAATTTTTTGGTAAAAGTTATGGGAAACGTTTCATACCAAACAAGATTCTATCACAAAAATTAAAGGAAAAATCCATACCAACCCCCCCCCCCCCCCCCAAAAAAAAAATCTCTTCTTTTGGATTTAATACAAAATCGCCCCAATGTGAAAAAAATAATTTACAAAAACATCGATAACATCAAAACAAAGAAGTTTATAGACAATCTACAAAAACAGATGTACTCAGGAGAAGTCACAGAAGTGATATCGATCCTTTTGTTCTTAAACGCTCCGTTCAACTATTCGGTTGTGCCCATCACTATAATTAAACTAATAACATTAATAACCGAATTATTTTTTTACGTTCCTAAAATCCCACCTACAACAGAAGCCTACAAATTATGCGGAGTATGTCTATTGTGTTTATTTTTTTTTTAACTCGTTATAATCCGTATAATTAGTTTTCAACTAGATATTAATTTTAAGAGCCATAAAGTATTTCCATCTTAAACTATTTATTATAGGTACAGTATATTACTACGTTTCGTGGGTCGTACGAATTGAGATTATTCTTAGTTTTAGATTCTGAGAGGAGCTAAGAAGCTTATGGTTTTACAAAGATGTTTATTTCATTTTTTTATCTGTGCTCAACTTTTGTACCAGAAGTCTTACTCCGATTTTTAAGTGTAGCATCTTTCATAAAAGTGAATCGGTATGGAGAGGTATTCTAAGGAGGTAACTTTTTGATTTTTCAAGAAGTTTTCCTAACGTATTTGGCAAACCGGGAAAAAAATAAACATCTTTGTAAAACAATCAGTAATAATTTAACATAGGTGTTTATCTTAGTTATAGATGATGTATTATTATTATTATTTTTTTTTTTATAAGCGTTTAAAGTTCAAATTTGTATTAAAATCGTAAAATTCGAAATTTCAAAACATGTTCAACCAAACTTCACTCAAAATCGTTTTCAATCGGCAATGATTTACACGCAAATAGCCTACCCCCCCAATTTTCAATCAACAACAGTGGCACACCCCTCAGCAGTACCTACCTATCAGCATTTTTATTTATTTGTTTTTAATTCTACTTTTAACTCCACATTTAGATATATACCTATACTGTTAGATCGCTGTACCAAACCGAGCCAAATATTCGTTTAACACTAGTGTTAGGTTCAGTGCAGATTGTGATGGTTGATAATAATTTCGTTGAAAATTTAGATTTACTGCAGTTTACTATGGACATAATAAAGAACAACGGACCGATTGTTCATTTTAACCTGGCCGGACAATCGAACGTCCTGCTCAACGATCCGGAAGATTTGAAGGTAATTCTATATGATTAATATCTAATATTTTACATTTTTTTTTTTTTATACTGTGTTGTAGTTTAAGAAAAACTTCAGCTTTTTATGTTTTGGTATTTCGTAAAAAACCTCATCACATTGTAGACTGTATCCTCTTAAAGTAAATCGCGTGTCCATATTTACTTTTATACAGTATTTATAAGAGAATGCTTACCTACTGACAATTTTAACATAGTTTTTAAATTCAAATTTACTAGTTCATAATTCATAGGCGTAACTGAGGACGCACTAGGGGGTCTTATACACCCCCCAAAAAAGCTCCAAAAATCTTTTTCCTGGTAACGACTAAATATTTAATCCATACATTTCATAAATGATGAGGAAAACAAAATACCTACAGATTTTCCACAGACAATACATGTGTGTAAGGAAACGGTACACGTAAAAACCTGGATTGTAAAAACTTGGACAGTACAAATATGAAATTTTAAATTTTAAAATCCGTAAATATTTTACACTTCAGTTTAGTGCTGTTCAGATTTGTACCATCCAAAGTTTTACATTTCGGGTTTTTGCGCGCCTTCAATCCCTGAAAAAACGTGAAAAAGAAACGAGAAAATTTACGAAATATATTATTTCCAAATCGTAAATATTACGGCCTTTCAAACCATATTTAACGGAACTCCGCTAAGAATCGTTTGTCGTTAGCAATGATTAATCGTTGCGTACAGATGTATATCGAATTTCCCCTTTATACGTTCAAAACTTTTCGCCTACAACAGTGGCCCGCCCTTCGTGCGAGCTGCGAAATATGTCCGTTAGATTTTTTTTAAAAAACACGTTTTTTGTGCAGATACTTTTGTCGAGCTCGAGCAACATCAACAAGGGCTCCGATTACGATACGCTAAAACCGTGGCTAAACGAAGGACTGTTGCTGAGCACTGGTATACTATTGCATTTTACTTTATTATACATTCGCTATGTGTCACACGAGTACACGGGTTAGGTTAGGTTATAGACACGTACAACAGTGATGCCACAGTGGCGTGACAAAACGCTTGTTTAAGAAACGATTGCGTCTGAAGTTTTTGGAAGATTAGTGGGGGCTGTGGGGGTATGTCCTTATCGTTAAGCATCTTATTTGAGTGGTATTAATTCCTTTAGCATTTAGCTTTCATATTTTATTAAAATATTACCTGAAGGTTAAATTAATTTAATAAAAGGTTACAATTTTATTGCGATGCGCCACTGTAAGTTGTTTAAAAAGAAAAATCGCGTATACTTATTTTTGACAATAAAGCCAAAAGTTTGACCGGGCCAAAGCAAATTAAAACAATGCATATTAAGAATACATACGCGGTAAACCGGTTTTGACCGAGACGGTGAGACGTGAACATTTTACACATTTTTAGGGGACTATACGTGGATGGTAATCAGAAAAGGAATAAGTCTCAGATCAGTGGCGGATTCAGCTGGTCGTTTGCCCCCCCCCCTTAAACGCCGTATCGGAGTAGTATGTTTTGGTTCTCAAAGTCGTGTAGTTTACTATTTTTAACCCTATGTTTGCACTTTTACCCCTCCTATAATTTAGTACTGCATCCGCCCCTGTCTCGAGCGCTACCTTATTTGCGTCTATGATGTTTAAACAAAAAAAAAAAATCCAAGAACGGGATTTTGTTTAGCTTTCGAGTGACGAAAAAGACGAAATGGCCCAACAAAATATTTGCCTTTTAGTATTTCGCCACGTCACCGTGTGCCGATGCGCAATATCCGAACGGCTTTACACTGTTTCGCTGTTCTATAGGCTCGAAATGGCAATACCGCCGAAAGCTGCTGACCAATACGTTTCATATGAAAACGTTAGCGATGTACGTTCCTTCGCTGAACAGACATTCGAGGGTGCTGGTGGATAAACTGTTGCACGCGTCCAGGAACGAAGAGATCAGCATCAAAGAATACATCACTTTATGTTCGTTGGACATGTTATGCGGTAATATCGGTTATCGGTTGTTTTTTTCTTTTAACGCGCGAAAAAATTTGAAATTTCTTACAATCTTGAATATTGTTCCATTATACAAATCTATTAACTTTTAAAACGATTTTTTACATGCAACGGTAAATTTCACCGAAACAGAACTATCCGAAATCGTTTTTACAATAATAAAGTATCCGATAAATTTTCTTTACTTTAAAAATTGAAAAAAAAAACGTAAAAAATCCATAAAAAACAACCCCTTTTCACAAACATTAACCGCTTTTAAGGCACGCGCGTGAATCATAAGTGTACAAAAATTATTTTTACAATGTACCAAACGGAATTTCGAGTCCGCGGCCCAAAACTGTTTAAGTTCAAAAATAAGAACCACAGATTGAATTGTATGGGTACACCCAAATTAATTTTGTATTATTTTTGTTTGTATGTTTGCGATCAAGAAACAATTATAGGCACCGAAATGAAGGCCCAAGAAGGCGAATCGGTTCAGTACGTCAATTCCATTAACAGGCAAGTGGACGTACTGTATAATAGCGTTTTTCAACGCGAGTTCGGAAATGAAATTTTGAAAAAAAAAGTCTATAAAACATGCGGAAACAATACTCGTCTAACGGATTCGTGTTTATTGATTTTTTTTTTTTTCTATGTACACATAAAGTGCGTGCAGATCGGCCGTCGACCAGATGTTTAAATTCTGGTTGTGGATCGACGTCGTGTTCAGAATGAGTTCGACCGGCCGAACGTATTTTAAATCGATCAAAGTGTTACACGATTACACCGCACGCGTTTGTATAATATCTCATAACGTTATTATTTTATTACCCGTCGCGCGTTGTACTACATTATACTTGAACCGGATTTACACGTGTCCGACACTCGGCCGAGTCACCAAAGCAAAACGGCCAAATCGAGTGTAAACATCGAATACAAGTCCAGTTCCTCCTCCTCCTCCTCCTCCTCCCCCCCCAGCCGCCAAAACCCACCAGTTTTAAATGATCGGTAGTTCGTTGTACGTACAGCAGTAGGTACCTGGGCGGTGCAGTACTAGACTGGACCGAATCGACGGGTTTAAAGAAGACGCGTGCCGCGTGTTTAACCGTGTTCAGTCGATTGGGTTCACATTTTTTTTTTTTTTTTTCTATTAAATTATAAACATAGTCCAGGTATTTATCATCTAAGTGTCTACTATGTCAGTTGTGCACGTTTGAACAAGTTAGAACAAATTAGAAATTTGCTTTAGTGACTAGGCCGAGTACCAACCACGGTTGTCTGTGCTATAGATTACCGTGGTAGGTACCTACCGTTGATTTTATAGTATACTGTTAGTATAGTGCATTATAAAATCAACGGTGCCTATACCTACTGAACACGTATAGTAATCAGATGTTCTCAGTTTGTTGTTAAGAGTCATATTATAATATTATTACCCAGATAGCACAATGATCTCCATGTAGGATATCCAAATGATTTCCTCTTGTTTGAGTACCTACATAAGACGGTCTCCAATGAAATCATTAGGACGTCGGTCTTGGATATCTTGAAGGGGCACTTGGTCAAAATGTTCTTAGAGCAGGATGCGTTCGCTCAGACACGAAACGTTTCCGTGGAATTCCAATAGGCCATGTTCACTGAAGGCAGTGTTGAATCCGGTTATGTGTCCGGGGGAAGGGGGGGTTACACCACGATTTTTGACCCCCGGCTAGACAATTTTTTTCAATCAAAAAGATTATGATAGATAATATCGTTTTTAAATGCATTAAGAGGTAGGTAGGTACACACATATTTGATATTCCATAAAAACCGTCGGAAAACGGTTACAATTTTTATCGAAATTGTTTTTTTTTTTTTTTTTTTTTTTTTTTTTTTATTGCGAGATAAAGAACATTATGATGTTCATAACACTGTTATTTGATTGTTTACGGTTCTCGTTCCGATGATCTTTTCCATGTATAGTAGGTACTTTACTGTATACATGCCTATAGTAGGTCAATTAATAAAGACCCAATTTTATCTATTTATTCGTATGGCATAGACAATGTAACAATATATATATAATTTATGTATAGTAATAAGCAGGTAGCAAAACAGAATATAATGACAATTGGTATAAACAACAGTATAAAAGTATAAAAGTATAATGACTATAGAATAATGTCCAGGCTTTTCACCCATTCGATAGTTTCAGGGGTCGCATTAAAAATGTCCTCGACCTTTCCTCCGAACTTTCTCTTAGGGCGCTCTCGTATGATATGGTCTATGTTCTGGTTGGGGGCACCACAGTCACAACCTGGGTTAGGAGTAATGCCCCATTTGTGCATAAAACGTCCCACTCTTCCATGGCCTGTACGTAATCGGTTTAAGGCTGTCCAGATTCTCCGTGGTAAATTGAAGCCAGGTTGTTTGTTTGTAGGGTTCTTAATGAGCGATGGGTTACTTAATTCTGATTTTTCCCATTCATCTTTCCAGCATTGTACTGCGTCATATTTGGCCGTGTTAAGTTTAATAGCAGTTTCCCACGGTGGTTTACGTGATACTTAAGATTGGGGCGCTGACTCCTTGACGCTGAGAACTTCCACTATCGCTTAAGTCTACTCTGTCGCTGAATACTGTTCTCCGGTATGGTTAAATAGCACACATGCCAAAGACCCAATAAAATAGGAAGAAACGTTTTTTATAATTAGTGTATTTACACCGGTAGGTCATAAGCGCAACTAGAGGGGTTCTAGAGGGTGTTTCGCAGCCCTAAGTTTAAAATTAGCAGCCCTGAAAACCCAATCAGGTTTTTCATTGTAATGACTAAATATTTTACCCGTGTATTTCATAGTTCATGAACGGAACAAAAAACAGGTTTCCCGCGGACAATGCGTGTGTGTATGAAAAATCATGTTAAAATAACCATGATGAATTTGTACGTATAAAATTGTAAACTAAATGTGCAATTAACTATTGTAAATGGGATTGTGGGGGCATAGCGCCCGTGGGTCTTTGATGTGTCCATAATTTTAACCCCCCCCCCCCAGAATTGGTGGTCTAGTTGCGCCTACGTCGTAGCTACTTCTTAACTAGTCTCTAATAAAAAGGTTACGTTTAATAATATTATGGTTTTCGTTTATTAAACGCTCATAGGTGATCAAGAATAAGAAAACGTCGATGGACAAATCGAAAAGTCCATCCGAAGGTACCTATAAATAACCTTACAACGTTAATATAATGATAATGATCGTTTTTACAACTTTTAACTGTTATTTCTCTCTTGGAATATTTTTTTTTTTTTTCTTAGAAAAAAAGCATAGAAAGTCGTTTTTGGACCTGTTACTGGACGCCTCGCGGAACGAGACCGTTCCGATGACGGACCAGGACATCCGAGAAGAGGTAGACACGTTTCTTTTCGAAGGACACGACACGACTTCCACGTCAATGACGATAACTTTAATATTGTTGGCAATGCACCGGGACATCCAGGTAGGGATCTGTTTTGTAATTTACTGAGTAGCCTAGTGTGCGAGTTAAACAAGTCTATCGCAATACATTGTACCCAAGAACAAGGCGAGAGAAGAGTTGCGCTCGATTTTCGGCGACTCCGACAGAGACGCGACGACCGAAGACTTGAACGCTATGAAGTACTTAGAGGCAATTATTAAGGAATCGCTTCGACTTTATCCGAGCGTGCCATTCATTTCGAGGGAACTCCAAACGACGTTAAATCTCAGTGAGTTTTTGACAATATAATATACACCGAGATCGACATTTCACAAGATGAAATTGTTTTTTCCTATAAACTATGGTCCCATGGAAAAAAATGTAAGATTTTAGAAACACAGTAGGTAGGTAATTAATTTCTAAAGTGTCGATCCCAATTCTTTTTAATCACATGAACGAATAATTATCTTAGATTTGATCACAAAAATTTCTTTTCCAAGAGATTTTGCCCACAAAACTTTACAACATCCGCCCTGGACCACCTCTCCTCGTCTTTCACAACCAAATTCTGGAAGCAATGATCCTTAGTTCGTGTATCTATGATATGTAAACATATTCAATAACTATTATGATGTTTACTCGGTTTATAACGCCTACTCATGTTTCTCTTACATATAGAAAACTACAGTATCCCTCCGAAAACGACCATAATAGTCACGCCTTACGTTCTGCACAGAAACGAGGACATATATCCGAACGCTGAAGAATTCGTTCCGGAAAGGTTTTTGGACATGAACAACAAAGACAAATTTCTATTTGGATATTTACCATTTAGCGCGGGACCGAGGAACTGTATAGGTATTCTTTACTGAAATTGATTTTTTTTTTTTGATGATAGTACATTTTTTTTCAGGTCAAAAATTCGCCATGTATCAAATGAAATCAGTTATTTCAACTATTTTACGGAAGGCAAAAATCGAAACATCAGCGACCAAAAAAGATATCAAAATTAGTGCAGAGCTAGTCATCAGATTAGTTTCGCCAATAAAACTGAAATTTTATGAACTTTAATAATATACATTTTATGAATTTAAACTATTTATATAATTTGTTATACTGAAAAAAATTTTTTTTTTATTATTTAAACTATAATCAATGTTTAATAACATAAGTAAATTATAAGTCTTGATATTTGGTTTTGGTTAAGCGCAGTGATAACCTTTGTTTACATTTTACATATTTGGCGTAAATGGATCAGTTTAACTTCAGGCAGACCGTTGTATAAGTATTTAAATACTTGCATACAAGTTAATTTGAAATCTACAATTCGACCAACAATATTGAGTGTTTAAATCTTTAATTTGTAAAACAGGTTAACAATATATATATATATATGAAGAAAGAACAATTTGATTTAACAAATTCAAATTAACATTTGTAAAAAAATGAACAATCAAACATTCATGGGAGGGCAGCAACACATTTTATTATATTATGAGCCAACATCATTTGTAACGAACAACATTTGAAAAATACACGTACGTTGAAAACTAAAATAGATTCACAAAAATGTCAGAAAAAATACACGTAATAAAAACAAAAAGTAGGGTGTAATAGATTCACATTTTTTTTCTTCCATGCGTGTGAAGTTACATAAAATATAATGATCCGAAATAATTAAAATCAGGTAGCTATTTAAATTTAAAATTGACACGTAAAATAAAAAATATTGATAATACACAAGTATAATTCATCGAGCTATGTAAAATATTATAGTCTAAATAACATATCTACGAACACTACACAACTGAGCTAAACATTAAAGGTAAAAAAAAAAAAAAAAAATGTAGACAATATTTATAGTATAAATAACTAAAAAAAAAAAAAAAACATAAATAATTATATATTTAATATAGTATTATATTAAATAGACAATTATATTTATGTATGTAAAAGTTTTTCTCGTGGTAGATATAACGTATCACGTTGAGATAATAATTGTTGTATGCGGTTTGGGTTTTTTTTTAAACAAAACTTACCTATCAATTATACAATATCAAATCGTGTGAAAAAAAGCTTCTACAATCGATTTTTTTGTTTGTTTACGACAGTGCATAATATCCATGACTTATTAATAATTACAATAATGTTTATAATAGTATTATTACTACGTGAACAAATTTAGACATTCAAATGAACATTTTTTTTTTTTTAATTAAAAGATTTTTCCTCCAAAAAAGGAGAAATATGAGAGATATTCTAAAATAATATATCATTAAAAAAAAAAAAAAAAAGATATTTTGGATTCTACAAAAAAAAAGTGACAACATTTGATACAATGTTTTAAAAAAAAAATTATAAAAAAATTCTACACATTTGTTTTTGAATCATACACGCGGATGGCAGAAGAAATCTGCTTTTTATCACTCAACCAAAACTTTAGGTTGTTCCCATGGAAATATATCACGGCCAAAATGCCCATATGTGCTTGTCTTTTGATATATTGGGTTTCGTAGATTTAAATCTCTGAAAAATAAAAATATTTTATTATTTAAATAACTATTTCAATTTAAGGCAATACGAGTCATAATAAAGTAAGTATTTGAAATGATAAAGCAGGGAGTACAACAACATAAGAAATTCCAGAAACTAGACCGCTTTTACTCTGTGCATTTATTATTATACATATTAATAATAATAATAACTGGTTTTGTTCAAACAAAACAAGTTTTTAAGATACTCGTCTATATCTCAATTATACAAAATTAATTTCAAGCAAGATTTATTAGCGAAATGTAGACCGGTCTTGTAATTAGATTAGATAGAAAGTATTAAACATACATATACAATATCGTTTTGGTTTAATATAAAAAAGAAAATGTCAGAAGAAAGAAAAACAGTATTCACTTTGCTAGACAATTTTATTTCCAATTATCGCAGGGTTGCCATATATCCCGGTACACTGGGATATATTACTGATTTATAACTTTAGTCACTGTAGTCCCAGTGGACACATCAAATGCCTCAGTTCTTCAATATGCAAAAAGGTTAATAAAAAAAGTAGTTCGATATGTATTAACAAAAACAAAAGTTATTAAATGGTATTTGTAAATGTTAAGTTCTTATATTTTTAATGCAAACCAAATAAATTATGGTCTAGTAAGAATAATTGAAAAATATTTGTTTCTTCGCTGTGTAAGAAAAATGCAACTCTTAATTAAATAGGATTCTTGCAAATATTATCAAATATTATTTAAACCAAGGGAAAAATATTTTACAAATACAAATGACAACAGACAATATTAACTATACTGTCAGTTATGGCTTAATTATATTTTTATTTTTACTAACCTGACAATTCTTCCAGGTCTTAAATCGAAATTACTTTTTACGATTTTCAACAATTCTTTCTGAGTTTTGGTAGATGTGCCATAATGGAAAAGTGTAATTGATATAGGCTCTGCGACTCCAATAGCATAAGATACCTGATTTCAATAAAATGTATACAATTTAAATAAAATTAATAAACCATAATTATTTAATACACGCAAAACAACTTACTTGTACAAGACAACGCTTGCAAAGTCCAGATTTGACCAAGGACTTGGCGACCCAACGAGCAGCGTAAGCAGCTGATCTGTCAACTTTAGTGAAATCCTTACCAGAGAATGCACCGCCACCATGAGCTCCCCAACCACCGTACGTATCAACAATAATCTTTCTTCCAGTCAATCCTGCATCACACTAAAAACAAAAATCATCAAGATGTAATCACAATTTTTTATTACAACAGCAAATATTTACTTGTGGGCCTCCCATTACAAATTGGCCGCATGGATTAATATGGAAAATTGTATTTTCGTCAAGATACTGAGGTGGTATCACTGTCTTAATAACTCTGGACATAACTTCTTGTCTCAAGGTATCTAAGTCAATTTTTTCAGAATGTTGAACTGATATTACAACAGTGTGTACTCTTTGAGGAATACAAGCACCTCCAACTAGGCAGTATTCACATGTTACCTGTTAACATCAAATATGTCAAAACAATTTTAAAAAATAACTCAATTTCACTGTATTTATGATGCAATTCACCCAGACTGAGTTTAAATATCAATCAATTCAAACAAAACCCCCCATTGAACAATTAGTGGATGTATTTTTTTAGCCTGTATAAATTATGTACATTCTTTTATTTAGTTTGTAGTTAGCGTCTTAATTAGTTTAAACTAAGTTAAAAATTGATAGTAAAAAAAAAAATAAGATAATAAGGAAAGAATTTGTTTGAGGTCAAGGTTTTATTAAATGTTATCTATTGATTGCTAACTAATATGAACAATATAAATGATAGGATAGTACTTATTCATTAAAAAAAAATTCATAACATTATTAACATTTACATAAATTTAATGAAGTTTCTTTAAGAAAATCTGTTTTTAACGGAAGATTATAAATATAAAACTATTTTATCAATAAAAAAGAACATTAAAGGCTATCAAGTTTTTAATATATCTAATGTTATCAACAAAGATTTATTCGATTAAAACTCAATAATTATATTAATAATAATGGTAAGTTTTATTATTTTCTTAGAGAAACTTAAATCAATTATAGAATGGGTAATAATATATGAAAGATAAGATAATGGAATGATATAATTTTTTTGTAAATATATGACCACTAAAAAATACACGTGGTTATAATATTCTCTTTACTTGTGTTTTTGTGTCTGGACGTGCCCACCAAAGTACACCGCTTCTTCGAAGTTCAGCAACTTTTTCATTAAGCTTGTGAGCTAATACTACAGTTAATGGCATGCATTCTTCAGTTTCATCTGTAGCATAGCCAAACATAAGTCCCTGCAATTTAAAACACCATGTTGAATTAAATTGGGAAAACTGTATAATGTACAAAGCCAAATAATGTAATTTATGATATCATCAATAGTTGTATAAATCAAACAGGCACATTAAGAACTATTGTTAATTCCAAAAATATATTTATTATAAGAAAAATTTGACAAAAAAAAAAAAAAAAGAAATAAAAAAATGCAAAACAATTGATTTCTTTAAATTAAAAATATATGATTAAATATATGTCAGGCCATCTTTTTTTGTACATACAGTGCGTCTCCTTTTAAAGGTAACAAAAAATACAATTTTTTTTTCAATAGTTTTCAAATTTTTAGCCTTATTATTAATGTCCATGTACAATACTAATTTGGATTTTTCAAGTTATTTTAACCTTTTAATTTAAATTGACTAATTTATTCAGAAAACTTGTCGATGAAATTGAACAATATGCAAACCAAAGTCATTTATGGATAACGATGCCAATGATGGACTAAATTTCAAATAATTTATAAAATATGCACATAATATAAAAGCTCAAAATTTGAAAATTGTCAAAAAACGTGTATTTCAGTATCCCTTATGCCTCCAAAAACCCCCATTTCAATCTTAAGTTACTGGACAGAAATATTATTTACTACGTTTAAAAGAAATCCACCATATATAGTTTATTGAAATAAGGAATAAAAATTTAAAATTACCAACGATTGTATAACTATTCCCACATTTGAAAAAAAATACATACATATATAACAATAGGTACTTCATAATTAATCAAATATTACAAAAAAAATAGTAACCAATTAGTAGTTAGTATATTAGTTAGTGTATTTATATTATATTAGTATATTTATTAGTTAAGTAGTTAGTATATTATTATAAGTAACAGCAGGCAATATTGTGTCAGCAAAATATTCGATGTATATATCGATGATATATACCTGTGATCTTTAGAACATAATAACTTTAAATACTTAAACAAATTAAATTTGATACATTGTAATATAATGTTTATATAAATTTTAATTGCAAAAATGACCAAGACTGAAAATTGCAAAAAGTAATGTTTGCCTCTTTAGACCCACAGATATATAAATATTATGTTTATTTAAATGTATACAGTTAAGACACCACTGTCTTATGCATTCAAAATTAGATATCATGCAATAACCTTTATTATTTTAAAAAAGCCGTTTAATTTGTAAAATGTACAAGTTTAAATTTATTTTTGGTTAATTGAATTGTTAAAGATTTTGTACATTTACAATTTGTATACATTTAAAAGCCATTTTTTTTTTTTTAAAAAAAGAAAAATACTTGTTAATTTTGACTAGAACCAGATCAATTCCAATAACCATTTACATTGCATTTATTTTGACTCGCTTTAGAATAATAGAAAATTTTTACATATATTTAGACTAAATTTGCATTGTGTGAGCTGTTTCAGAAAAGGAAAAGAATATACAGAACTGAAGACCAACACAAAAAGAAGTAAAATTGTGTTGCCAGTATATGTAAAAAAAAAAAATGTCAAAACAATATACATACAAATAACTTAATATTTGTTTAATTAATCTACATTTTTTTTTGTTCCAAAAAACATACCTGATCTCCAGCACCCACTTCCTCAGCAGTCCTGTTGACGTGCACACCGGCAGCGATATTTGGAGATTGTTCATCAATAGCAAGCATCACGGAACATGTCTTGTAATCAAAACCTGGCAACCCAACAGCGGGACAACACACAACACATAGCAACGATCAGCGACTTTATTGTAGTATTTATTTTTTATTTTTTTTTTGATCAATGTACCTAATACAATCTTATTTGAATCTAGATTGTCTAATAGACGAAACCCCCATTATTATATTTTCAAACAAATAGAATATAAATGAAGAAAAAATGCTCTGAATCAATTACAAGTCTATTACAATATTGTAGAAAGTGTAGACAAAATTAACCATTAACTCTTAAACTTTTGTAAAAACATTATTTACCAGATACACCTTGTTAATACATATTCTTGTACTTGTTATTGTTGTTTGAGAAACCAACACATGAACTATCAGTAGTACAATAAATGATCATAAAAGGAAGGAAAATATTTAAACCCGTATAACAAAATAAAACATCTTTCACTAATTCATAGGGAGAACGTTTATAATATTGTTTTAACTAATAGTACAATGCTTCGGGATTGATATGGATTTTTTTTTTTTATTTTTATCATGCAATAAGCAAAGTGGGAATTTTGTAGTGTTGAGTCCTATTATTTATTGCATGCAAAAATAAATTTAAGATTATTACAAAAAGGCAGTTTACATTGTAATATTAATTATTAATAATTTGTGCAGCCCGATCAAAACCTTTTCATTCATACCTATTAACAACAACAGGCACATAACACCGCAATTCATACATATTATTTTTTTCCTTGCAAACAGTCGATTAAAATGTAATTTGTTTTATTAGTTTTATTAAAACAAAACACACTTAACATAATTTAAGTATGATTAAGTATAAATAATTAATAATATATATTAGAAACGTATTATTTAAAATGAGTTTAATAATGAGTAACCTAAATTTAAAATGTTGAGTCAATATTAAGTATGAAATAGTGTTGTTGATACCTGAGCATTACAATATATTAATATGTGTACATATTAATATTTATTTATTTGGTATCCACTTACCTCACATAATGTACATACATATTATATAGTATAAAAAGCAAGAATGATATGAATGAAAACCTTCCAGATTTCGATTCAAAATTTGTATTACATATAAATAAAATATTTAAAACCCATAAATTATTATAAAGCTATTTTCATATTAAAGTACAACAAACACGACATGTTTTCCACTCATTCAAATCCCCCGAAACCAATGTTTTGCTATACCCTACCTGATCCCCAGCCCCAATTGCATCTTCAACTTTGTTTACGTGTACACCATCCGCAATATTAGATGATTGTTCATCGACCGTGATGAGGACATTGCATGTCTTGTAGTCAAACCCTGTAGGTGGTTATATGTATATAATATATGACTAGGCTATACAAATGTGACTGGATTTTAACTGCATTTTGTTTTACAATACAGTAAAATATTTTTGTTTATCTGTACTTTATGTATGAACATATGTTTTTTTTCAATGCATATATTATATTAACTATTGTATAAAAAGAGGAAATATCACAATCGATAAATCCATAAATATCATTACAGTTTATCTTACATATTTTTCAAAAAGAATAAATTATCTACCAGACTATTTTGGTTTTATGAATGTAAAATGAGAAAATTATACAACAGAATTTATTTAAAAATAAGCTATTTGAATGTACACATATTTTGCATGGGGATTTTTTGAAGTTAACTAATGAAATATTTAAAGAAAATTAAAAATACTATTCTTATAACACTTACAGAAAATATATCATACCTATAATAAGTGTAACACTTACTTTAATAACATTGCAGTTAATTTATTATTTATGCTAAATGTTCATTCAAATTATCCTATGGTAGTACATTTTTTTTAACAAGCTATGTTACACGTTAACATAATCAGTAATAAATAATTTAAAATAAATGTAGATTACAGTTCTCCAAGTATAATAAAACTGTATTTTTCTAGCTAGTAAAATTTCTTCAGAATTATTGATTATAAAGAACATCATAATTAACAGCCTATTAAAAAGATGTAAAAACATTTATCGAGTATATTATATCTATGTAGAAATTAAAATATATTTATTATCTAATTGGATAATTTACTTCAACTTGACTAGTCATCATACAATTTGTAATCCTGCCCTATTGACTTTGTAATTGATTAGTCACATTTGAAATGATAAAAAATGTTAAGACTAAATAGGTATTTCAATTTAATTTCTAACAATCTCATAAAACAATTTTACTTAAATTAAATATAATTAAAATTTGGAGAAATAAGAAACATCAACTTTTTTTTATCAAAAAAAAAATTATTAAGGTTTTAATCTGTTAACATTATTACCTTTTGATGAATCATCATAACCAATGTGTTTGACAGTGTCTCTGACTACTTTTTGATAATCTACATTGGCTTTGGATGTGATTTCTCCACAAAGTAGTACCATTCCAGTTTTTGTTACGGTTTCTATAAAATAAAAAAAAGTTTCCAATTTTAAGTATTATTATATTTTATACATATAAAACAGTTATGTACAATTGGTTAAATCAAATTGAATTGTTTTAAAACTACCAAAAATACTCCAAAATATTTGGCATTTTATTTTGTTAAATAAATTTTGATTATCATAATATGCAACTGTTTAGAAGCAATATAATTTGTGCGATTTATTTGAGCCAAATTGTAAAATCTATGGAATTGCAACTAAGGTAACCAATAAAACTGATATCTTGTAACCCAATATGTATCATGTTATATTTCTTCAGAATTATTTTTTGAAGGTAATCCTCATAAAGTAGTGATAACATCTTGGATCTACTATAATGTATGTGAATATTAATTACGGTATATACCTACTATTAAATGAAAATCAAAATAACTCACCGCAAGCCACCTTAGCATCTGGATCTTGCTGAAGATGCGCGTCCAAAATAGCATCACTTATTTGATCACACATTTTGTCTGGAAAAAAAAACATTCAATACAACACTAAAAAAAATTATTTCTTTATGTGTCCTGGGGAGGACGCCATGTATTGGATTGTAGGTATTCGAAACAGACATTATAATTGGCTAACAGCCAGTGGTTCATTGATCTCTTATCACCGCATAGATGATGGAATTTGGGATGAAAAAGAAAGAATAGTTAATCGAAAGTCGTTCATAAGTTACTAGTATTTTTTTAAAAGGTAAGTAAGTGCAAATACGGTACAAATTCGTGTTATCAAAATAAGTGAGTAATCACGCGCGAATATTATTACGCAGATGCCGTCAAAACGGAAAACGATGGTGGGGAAACAATTCAAATCACATTTTCCCGAAAGACGCAATTGTTAAATTGAAATAATAGCGCAGCATCTCGGGATTAAAAATCATTAGGTAGGACTATCGGTTGAACACCTTGAAACACGAAGTGACGGATTAAAAAACACGTGTTTGCTCAACGACGGGTGAAATCGATACGATTTTAAAAAATACTAATTGGAAAAAAAAAAAAAAAGGCCAAATGTCAAAACAATTAAATTAACCGACTCCGTTACCTGGGTGTCCTTCGCCCACTGATTCGGAAGTGAACAGGAACATCTCGCCGTCCGGGCTCTCAGGCGGAAGACCGCCATGTCCGTGTCCGTTGGCGAACCCGTTGGTAAACGCGTATTTCTTCTCATTAGGCATGATTACTACGCCGGAATTGTTGTTGCTGTACTGTTGCTACTGTCGATTTGTGATCGACAATAAAGAATAAACCACCGGTGCGGGTCGACTGCTACCGTAAGGGGCAAGTCCAAGGTCTGCTACAGACGCAAACAAAATAAACGGAACGTTAATATTTTTACCGGACCGCTGTACGTAATTATAATAAAGGTGTTTGGTTGAAAAAAAATAAAAAATGTATTAAAATCGAGTGAAAACTACGGACGGCGGCGTGTGTGGTGGTCGCGCGCCGGCTGTCTAGTCGCTGATCCAGTGGCGACTGCCGCGACTGTAGTGCTGAGCGCTCTGTGTCGCGGGGCTGCAGCTCGGTCGACGACTGACTGTGGACGACGAAAAGGAAAAGCGGCGCGAACAGCCAAACGCGAGAACACGGATCGAATAGTACGGCTGCCGAGTACGGAAAGAACGATACGAGCGGAGCTGCTGATGGCCGATACACGGCCGAGGAACAAAACGCGCCGGATTATAGTGTTGCCAACCACAGCGGCGCCGTGAATCCCGGCTCAAAATATTATTCCTTCTCGTGCGCAATCCTTTTCATCGCGGTCGCGGTAACCCTAACTGCGATTACCGTGCTAACCGCCGCCGTCGCCGCCTCGCCCGACAGTCGTGGTAACTACGGCCACCCGCGATCCGCCAACAATGGACGCGTGCCCCCACGTGACGCAGCTGTTCGGCTAATAGCTATTGTGTCGGTTTGGCTGACGCCGCGGCCAATAAATAATAATCACGAATCCAAACAATAATATACAACATTTGCGCGAGACCGTCCGGTGTAATATTAGTTTCGTCGTAAGCGCGACTTGCCGTCACATCGCATATAATTACTGTAATTACTATACTACTATAATTGCTGTACTACTTTTTTTTATAGAAACGATTGCCGAACGTGAAATAACATTCCCGGGTGTCGTGGTATTATTATTATTATTTAAAACTTCAAAAGGCTACACGTCCGTAAGTAGACGGGTGGGTACGTCATTATCTCTAGGTTTGCCATTATTATTACCTAGGTACTGGCGTATTTTGTCTTTCTCGCTCAATCCGTCGTACGGTGTTATTAATTATAATAATTAATAATGTTAAATTTCGACCGGTTTTTTTTTTTTTTTTTTATATATATATATATACCTAATGCGGAATAACCGCTCGTCGTAATAATTGGTTACAGGCGGCGGCGGTGGTAACGAAAGTTCCGTGTCATTATCGCGGCGATTTTTCCCACGATTTTACGTCGTTTTCACGCCCGATAAATCCGTGCTCTAATGCGTTTACTTACCTAATGTACCGACCGATTGGTCACACGCGAAACGTACCTACTCTAATACCGTCCAAATGCCGAGAAAACGGGGGTGCGAAAAGGCCGAGTTGCAAGCCACGAGTGTTTAGCAGAAAAAAAAAAAAAGACCGTTTCATCGTCGTTTACGTAGCCATCAACAGTAATAATATAATTATTAGAATATTATGCGCATGACCATTAATCCGCGGACATGCGGAGAGATACACGAACCGACATTTTTGTCGCTCAGCGACGTATTCATGGTTTTTGCAAAGGCGGAGACGTCGAATTTGAAAAGTACGAAGTCCTTTCGGTAATGACATTGCGTTACGTTATGACAAAAACAAAAAAAAAGACGATTAACAGAGCTCCCGATTCCTGTCGCCTCCCATCACGAGATCTTCCGCCGAATTTTCCCCAATATTTCATCCTTGAACACAGTTCTATTTATACACATTATACGTACACTTTTTAACCGAGTTGATTTCACGAGTCCGTAAAGGTATTTAAAACCTCGGAAAAAATTCCGGTGAAAACGCGAAATCTGAACACAGAAATTTACGGATAACGGTGGAAACCACCAAAAGACACGTCCTCGATACTTTCACCGTGCACATACATAATGCCGTTCCCCTGGTTTCATTCGGAAGAGAGTGGTGTGGGGGGTCTGTAGGGGTGTACAAAGCTAAAACGGTTCAAACGTACGTACTCGAATTCGTAATAATATTCGCGGACACCTGTGTGTAGACGTTTCGACACGCCGAGAAACTACCGGCATCTGTCCCCGTTTGCGATATCACAAACAATTTTTCGGGTGCGCATCACCGAATCCCTCGATTTTTCTTCTCCCGAGACTACGGACGGTCCCGTCGCAAAACAATATCACATCTCGGACGTGCGACCAACGACAACCGCGCTTCTTATTGTCGAAACGGGGTTTTTTTTTTCTATATTTAATTTCCGGCGGTTTTCGCGGGTACCGGTGAAATTCGCAACTAATTAACGTATTGTATCTAATATACAAAACACGAAATTAAAACTGTCTGCCCGTTAAAATATAGGTGGTCCCATCTACAGTTTTATTCTCGATGAAACTCAACACACTTGACATTCAGAACAGTCGAAACAAAAGGAAGATATTTTGGTACCTATGAAAATTGACTTATTAGGTAAATATTTCTTCAATTATTATTTATAGGTTACTTTGACGGCACGGCTAAAATAACACATCAAATATCGTTGTTGAATTTGTAGTTGTCACGAACGGGCGGTCGGTAACTGGGCCACATTTCATCCACCTGCTTCGTAAACAATATTTTCGTACATTTTATTACCCGGATATTGGGTCGCAAACGTTCAACACAAAAATATATAATTTTAAATATATTAAAATGCATAATATAAAATACAATATCTATAAAATGAGTCAAACGATTATACATTTTTTTTAAAAATAATGTGATACAGATTGCTTTTCACGGTATTCAAAAGTGCCGTCGACATAAATCGATTGTAACGAACACACAAGAAATTTAAATTTGTAATCATGGAAAAAATAATAATATGTTTTAAAATAACGGTGTTAAATAGAGGTTCGCCTTTTGTCAAATCTAAAATATATTAAAATACAGTGGCCCAATCACCGGGTCCACCTGCTTTAAATGTAAAAGCTTAGTGGCCCAATTACCAAACACCTTTTTGAAAAATGGTCCATTGTGGCCCGATCCCCGGACGCCCGTCACAAACAATAATTAGAAAGTGGGTGCTTATCCTTTTTAAAAGATAAATTACCCGATTACCGGCAACAAATATTGCAACAATAATATTTATTGCCAGTCAATACGGATAAGAGACGGTGGAAACTGAGTGGACGCGTTGAATAATTTGAATATGATTGTAATTGATTTCAGTTTTTGAAAGCCCGAATAATTCGGCTATAGTCTAATTAATACAATAATACAATTATGATGCATGTATTTTATAAAGTGTTATAAATTTGCATATTGATGATGACGAAAGCCTGCCTTGGACGAGAGAAGAGTTAATTGACCCGTTATCGCGTAATTTTTAAACGATAAAAAGTATTTTATCTCTACAGTTTAAAGTTTGTTCGATATCTACGTGCACGTAATATACGCGCGTTAATATATTACTCTTAGACCGAGATAAAAACTATTATAAAATAAACGCTGCTGTACACGCCTCGGGACTTGCGTATACCGCGCACTTAAACTATAGATTAACGCCCCCACCCCCGGTCCGTTATCCAGTGACCGGGTATGCAATAATTATTTCTATTACGCAATTTGATTTTCACGAGCACGTGTAAAAAAAAAAAAAAGCTAAAAACAATATCAATTGTTGTTGAACGGCGGAAGGGCAAAGGCGCCAAAGACGCGTTCAACTTTCAACCCTAAAATGTTAGCGGGTAGATTTTTTTTTGTTTTGATTTTTCGCAATGATCTGAGCCAAGTACAGTTTATCGTACTGAAAACCGTCCGGGCCGTTTTTATATACAACAGCAGTTTAAATATGACTCGACGCGTTTATTTTTTCATTCTCAAATGCCGTTTTTATATTGGTACCGTTACAATATAATCAAAACGCCGCTAAGTCTGACGGAATTCAGTTACAAGGTCCAGAGTTCGGTTTTCCGCAAAACGTACGAGATTCCGTCCATCGTACGTATAGGTACAAGACCATTTTGATTGTTGAAAAAAACCATACGTATTTCTTTCCGAAATAAAAATATAATCACAATGTCGTGATTTAGTTATCCAAAGAACGTAACATAATAAGATACACAGGTACCTACATACCGGTTTTTAAACTTTAGACCGAACGAACGTAGTGATTTAATCTTATCTAATTCAAAATTGCGTGTATGGTGCACATCACCTGTTTATATAGGTGAAAAACCGATACATTGTAATACGTATAATATAATATAATAATACAGTGGGCGAACCTCCGTATATTGAACATCAATTGTCAAGGTGAATTTTTTGTAATTGTAAATCATTAAAAATTTCATTTGGGAAATATTATAGTATCGTATGATCGTTTATACACGATTGTTTGAAGTGGCCACTCGAAGGATCAATGATTATTAATGCCGTTCGATTTTATAGACTTCTGCGCAGTATTTTATTTTTTCTAATATTTACTAATCTATACATGAGAACATTATGGCGTTTTCATAACGAAGACAATTTACCCAAACAATATATTGTTACCCAGTGGCGGCTCGAAAGGTGCGTACTCGAATCACGTGATTTGCAAAAAAACGGGTGGGTAGGTCGCGGATGCCTGGGTGTTCAGAAGTATGATAAAAAGTATTATGTTTTTACAAAATAAAATTCATTAAAACACTGGAAATTTGATAAATTTTTTGGCATTTTTGGTTGGGATGGGTGTTTGGAAAATTAAATCGGTTATTCAAAATAAAAATACTTCGAGCCACCACTGTTATTACCTATGTAAACATCTACTTCAAATGTCTAACCGATTCGTAGCAATGGCTATTTTAAAGGTCAAAATGAGCTTTTAATTTATAGATAGGTAGCATAAGAGTGTTGCAAAAACAGCTACGATAACTTATTTAGATTTTGGTTATCTCTGGAAAATATAATAATACTAAAAATAGCTATGAAAGTCTATTGTACGTTTAAATTCCACCAAAACGAAAAACGTAAAGAAAATTTGATTATTTTTTAAGTCATGCCAATATTAATTTTTATGTCTTAAACGTACATAAATAATTTAAAACAATCTGAAAAGTGAATACATTATAGGCTTACCTACTAAATTGTTTTTCTTCTCTCTCGCCTATATGTATATTCGGTCTATATTATACCTACCTAATCATTAGTCGGACCTAAACTTCTGCACTTGGCTCGGTGTCTCTATCATATAGTCTCATCACATTCCAACATTAACAGTCCTCGTGGTTCGTATCACTCTCAAAAATCAATATCTTACCCTTCTTTCCTCTCAACAATTCAACATAATATAAAACCAAAATCAAATGACTTACGAAATCGAAAGTAATCGTACTCTGGGCGTGTATTGTTTTACTAATATAATGTGCCTTTTGGGTTAGTGTTCCTAATAAAAGTAATAAAACTGGAGAAAAAAACAGAAATTAACCACGTATGTATATTATAAACAGACTGAAAAATATATTATAGAGAGAACGTGTATTCGTGTCGGGTGGTCACGAATATTATATAAATTGTGCTGACACACGACCGTCCTACGATTTAGATTGTGATTTAACAAAATAGTAAAATCCATAATCGACAGAAGTCAAAACACAATATCGATTAATTGACCCCAAGAAAACACAAAATAATAACATTACCCCATATACGTATTAGATGATAATAGATAATAAACATGTTTTCGTTAGAGGGGAAATGTATAGAGTGGAATATATTTTTCTAAAGACGTAGTTGTTTTTCTTAAATATTCTTAAGCAAGTTAAAAACTTAAAAGTTATGCAGCCATGTTAGCTTTTGATTTTTTTAAATAACTGTAATACATTGTTTGTTTAATAATATTTTCAAAAGACAGCAAGGTACTGCCATCGTAAATATAATTGTCCAGTTATCCTCGTTGAATTTTTTTTTTTCGTATTTAAATTCTGTCACCTTGAGCACCATTATTTATGTTCTAAGTAAAGCAATTTTTCCATGTTACCCGTTAGATATAAAACTGAGATTCTTATAGGTAGGTTTACTATACTAAAAAGCTGGACAAAATTTTTATTTTACAAAGTCAAAACATGCTCTCTCAAACTGCTCATAAATGGTACCAGAGTTGTTTTGGAGATAATGTAAGAAAATATTATATTTTTAAAATTAAAGAAAACAATATTACCAAGGTCATTACAAAACATTTTTTCCTGTTACGTCTAAAAATATAACGTTTAATATATCCAATGGCGCTTACAAAATATAAGTTCAATAAGTGCAAATATAACTTCAACCTTATCCTCTCCCACCTCCGTAAATTATTGAGTAGATACTCAATAATTTAACTATTAGAAATACTTTTAAGGATGAATGTTGCAACAGTTTTGTTTAAAAATTTGATATTAACTCTTATAAAAAAAAAAAAATACTACATTACACTAAATTTTTTAATTTTTGACCAATAAACAATAAATATAATTCATAATGAACCTGTTATTCAATTTTCAACCGTTTCTGTTTAGTCTAACAATTTTATTCACAGAGTACCTAGCAAATAAAAATTCCGTAAAAAATCTCACAAATTAAAATACCTATAAATAGCTCAACAAATTTAAAAATATATTACCACATCTAGAAAAAGCAAATAAAATTTTTCCATCAAAAATTTGAGTCCCTACGAAGTCAACGAAGTCAAATCTATTTGAAATCGACTTTCCCACATTTATGAATTCTAAACCCTAAAAAAGTCATAATAAAAACAGTAATTAAAATTAAAAGAAATGGAAAGTCAATTATTTCAATAAGACTTGAAGATGAATTCAAATCTGCTCTCAAAATTCTTACCGCTTCACTAGATCAATCATTAGAAATAAAACGCGTCTAAATTCCTATGTTATACACATATATAAGACAAAAACAGAAAATCATAAATTCAAACCGACTTAATGTATTATTCCATTTTTGATTCTGAGTAGAACTATGAAGCTATAAGATGTACAGGTATATCGGTATGTGATTAGTAAAAATGCTCCGATTTTCTTCAAAATTTGAACTTTAGCTTATAAAAAAAAGGGCTAATAACTTTTATTTATAACCACTAAGTACAACTTATGATGCAGATTTTCAACCATTTCAGCTCTACCAAAACAGTTATATCCACATAAAAATCGACTAAAAATTAAAAAACTTGATAATGTCAAATGCCTGTAAATAGATTAAAAAATCACCAGATGTTTTGAAAATGTTAGTATTCTGTAAAAATGTGCGGTCTAAACCTATTTTGAACAAAATTACTAGGAAAACCCAAAAAGAAAATTAATGAAACCGTTATTGTTGTAAATTCATCCGCTTTTTCTATACGTTGTTTCCTAATTTTTAAGCAAATTGCAAAGAAAAACAAAAAATATCTCCTTAATGTCCCAAAAAAACTCTTTTGGCGTTTTTGGTTCTTGCGAGATTTCTAGTAGAAAAGTCGTTAAAAAAAACACATGGTCAGAATAAAAAAAAAAAAAAACAACAAAAACCGCACAATAGATTGGCAGTTTGCTAATTATACATATAATCATTTATTTTCTTATTCCAGACACGTTAACAATAATTTTAATATAGAAAACAATAAACACTCGCCGTTTCTACGAAAAAAAAACCCCTTACCCCGTTCATTGTTGTGTTTAGTCTAAAACGTATTCTTAAATTTCCAAGATTCATCAATAATTGTTTTTAAAAAAAAAAAATCACTGCGCACTACGATTTACGAACGGCAGGGCATGAAGTCGTTTTATTAAAAACGAACGTAGATGTTTCTTTTAGTGATTGAACACCAAATCTTTCTACGTTTCAAGCTCGACATTAATGTATGTGCAATGTCATATTATTTTTAGAAACCCCGCAGCTGCAGGTGGCGTCGCGGAGAGACTGCAGTTTTCGAGGCTCGATTTGCTTCGACCAAATTCGGTGGGTGCAGAACCGTGGGTGGTCGAAGGCGTATGGAAGACTGTATGGAAAACCGTACAGAACCGTGTTTGAGTTTAAGTAACATAACCTTGTTTTTTTTTTTTTTTTTTTTTTTTTTCTGTCTTGAAATGTTCATAACGCGGGTCGCCGACTGGTAGTAATAGAGTATTATAGAAAATAGCTGCGCCTCACACAAAGTGAAAAAAAATAATATAACAAATGTTCTAATACACTTGTAGATACAGAGTGATCCATTGATTGTACTCGCATACATGTATTGTGCGTATGTATATGAGGAGGGGATCGATTAAAATCAATTTTATTTATCATAATACTTAGACATTATTATACGAAAACCGTAGCGTTCTTTTCACACCGCGGGACAATAATAATAAATGTATTATTACATCATTAAAATACGTTACACCAGACGTTTCGACGGCACGCAGTCCGCGGTAAAATCGATTTCATTATAATATTTATAATAACCAGCAAACTGCGAACTACGGTTGAATGTTATTATATGTAGAAAAAAAAAAATATGTATACATTCGAGTCGTGTCGAAACATATACATATTATGTAGTGTAGATGTGGCAGACTATATCACACGGCATATAAATAAAAAATAAAAAAGATACTGCTATACTGCTTAAGGGTGCACCACTGTTGTAATCGGAAAGTTCGAAAGATAAATAAAGTTATTCAATTTGTCTATAAACAACGATAAACCATTGCTAACGGAAAACGATTCTGAGTGAAGTTCGTTTCGTTTAAACATGATCAATTGTAAGACCGTACCTAGTATTTACAGTTTTCTTAAAAACTTTATCTATAAATTATTGTAAAATAAAATTATAATTACCTACATTAGGGTTTCCTTTTTTTTTTTTTTTTTTACTATACTATAAGTACCGATTTTAATTAAATTAAAAAAAAAAAAAAAAAGAGCTGATACCGGGGACGAGTGTGGCTACTGTTATAGGTGGTTAGTTGGGAATATGGGATACATACAATTATTTAATTTATTCCTGAAACCAACGATGAACCATTAACGGTTTACTAACGTGTTGGTGATCAGTTCCAAGTGATTCAACTATCGAGTCACTTCCAAGTTGCGTCATCTACTCTGCGTGCATTTTTAAAATCTTATTTTTTCTAATTTTCTTCTATTAAGAAAAATAAAAAGATTAACGAGCAAACAACTATATTAAAGTTGGTAGAAGAAGTAAAGAAACATCCCATTCTATACAACTTTACTAGAAATTTCTTTCGATACATTATGGTTGAACCCAAAATTTTCTTCGTTTTCTATTTATTTATTTATGGTAATAATAAAATGCAATCATCATTTCTTCATCACTGGAATAATATCTATGGTGTTAAACATTTCTGATGCAGGTCCTACTTCCATAACCAAACAGTCAAAAGAATAAACTAGTGATTTCGATAAATTTTAGTTGGCTCGTCTGCGGATCTTAGTCACCAACGCTTTAGTAATCGATAAGTAATTTTAAACCACGAACCAATTTAGTTTCTTTTAAGTAATTCCGTGTGTAGACGTCCTAAGTCACAAATATAAAAGTAATATAAAAATATATAAATTTAAATATATTTTAAAATTTTTTCTTAGGTTAGGTTAGGTTAGAATAGGGTGATAGGTTCAACATAAATTGAGCATTTTTCATATGTAATTTCGTATAATATACAATTTTGATTTTCAAATTTTTTTATTTGTCATAATTTTTCAAAATATGAACATTTAAAAAATAAAAAATATCATTATCTTTTTCTGGTGTATTTTTTCTTATCTTTTATTCGCTCTTTTTCTACATGTGTTTTTTTATTGTCTTTTCTTTTCTTATATTTTTTACCCCAACAGACAATAAATACCACTCTTTTACCGAAAATAACATACGGAGAAGACGTTGGTAGTTAAGAAAAAAGAAGAGCAGATACTAGGGACGAGTACAGCCATGATTGTCGATGAAAAGTTAGGTAGGTACTAGGTAGGATACATAGTTATTTAATTTATATCCTTACGTAAAGATAAACCATTGCTAATGAAAAATAATTCGGAGCCAAGCTCGATAATTTTTACAATTTTTGTCAAAATTTGTTGTTTAATCGTTCATGAAAAAAAACTAATACATCGAATTTAAATTTTGTTTTTAAACCACTTAGTAACAACTTTTAATGTACCGTGTATTAATTTTCAATTATTTCTCTTAAGTCATATAATTTAAATAACAGATATGTTCCAAATAAAAATAAAATATATAAAATCACGAAAATATCAAATACCTATAAATAGCCTAAAAGTTTAGGTCTGGAGGAAGTTTGACGAGACGGTCGTTCAAAAAAGATGTTTTTGTACCATGAAAAAGAAGAAGCATCGAAAGATTTTGAACATGACGAATTCTAATTTCAATTTATTTTCTTTAATACTTACTGAATTTAAAAGAGTTTCCCAGCGCCTCAAAACAGTTTTTGATAAATAATAAATTTAAAAAAGGACGGACATACTTCGCACGCGGATTCAGCTACTATAGGTAGGAAGTTGGAAAGGTAAGTTATAGATGGGAATTTAACGTACATTTGTAAGCAACGATAAATTATTATTAACAAAAAAACGATTCTGAGCGGAGTTCAGTTTATAGTGTTGCTTTGTCAACAATGCATTGTATGTCATATGTCATATTATGGTAAAATGATTACAACAATGTGCATTTTTATGACAAAAATGATTGTCTAAAAAATATTAAAATAATAAAAACTTAACAATAACAAAAAATAAATAAAATGGTTGCCAATGACTACCTTATTTTTAATCTTTCAATATTTTTTTACCTAAAGACACCGAGGTTTTCCTCATTATCTAGAAAATAAATGAACATTTAAAAAAAAACTTCCTTAAAATACCACTCAGAGAACATTTTCTTTTACAAAATGTACTATACTTGATAATCAGAGAATGCTTTTTGGTAGAAGTGTTCACATAAGAAAAAAAATATATATATAATCATCATTGTAAAACCAATACATTTTTCGTTCTACTCAGAATCTAAAAAAACAAATAATAAATAATTATTTCGTTTAAAAATCGACGAGTATTTTTTTTTTTACGGTTTATCGTATACATACGCAGAAAATATTATTATTATAATCACTTATTCAATATGCAACTAATATGCGATGGATAAGGTCGTGTAATCGATAGTTCGAAAAATCTATTTCTGGCAACTACGCCATAAAAAAAATTTAAAAAGATTAAGCTCTTCTATTGAGGTATAACAACTGGTGATAACGCGTGATGTTGACGCGTGCACGATGCAAATGAATAAGTAATAACATTTAAATGATAAATCGATGGATATTGGATTCATTTATTTTTTTCTTCGCTCATTAATAATTGTTTTATCTATTCTGATTTAGTATCTATTTGAGAAGATTGAAAAAAAAAAATCCGAAAACCCCGATTGGAAATTATTTTTTAATCAATTCTTTGTCAGGGGAAAAAATCTTACCTAATTGCGGATATCCAATCAAAAACTAATTATGGGGGTTTGAATCGGTTTTCAATATTTCTTTGTTTTATATATTATATCTTTTTATTTTTTTACATTATTATAATTGCTTCAATGATAAGGCTATCCCACTACTGCACGATACCCGTTTAAAGGGAAGGGGTATGGCCGTACAAAAATGTTGATACTTATTATATTAGTTAATTTTTAATAATGAAACTATGTTATTTAAATATGTTGAATATTTTAAATACGTTTGAAATTTGAATTCATGCATTTTTAATTTTATTAAATTATTTACGAGAAATCATTCGAAATTTGTGTAGTTAGATTTTTCAATTTTCAATGGTTAAATCATTAAATAAATAATGTCAATATAAAAAATATGCTTCGACTTATGTAAACCAGATAATTAACTCGTACATTTTAACATTTTTAAAATCCAACCACCAAAAATACCTCAATTTTGGTCAGTCGTTAGGTCATTTGACGAAAATTGCATAATGTTTGCAATCACCTCATGATGTGTGTTATGATAAGTGTTGTTTCGAACGAACGGAATCCATTAATAAAAGTGAACACGGCCAAATCATACTGCGTAAAATAATTACGTATATTTATTTATTATTATTTTCGAAATAAGGAAAAAAATATTGTTCGAATCGAGTTAAGACGGATAAGAGAATAAAATAATGATTACTAATGTTTTGATTAATAAAAAGAAAAAGACCAACTGTAAAGGTGTTCGTTATTAATTATTGTTATTATAACCTATATGTTCGGTCAATAAAAATATGTTTATTGCGCAAGATAATATAGGTGAAAAAAAATAATAGGAATATAATAATTATGTTATTACCTATATTTTTTCCCATAGACTATTTCATCGATTCACGCAATATCCTAACTCTATTTAGGTATTTGTCTTGGGGGAGGGGAGTATGAAGTTATCCAAAGGTCATCAACTCGAGAAGGACTCCGTTCCCCTCCCCTTAGCCCTTAAGTTGCCTCAAATTATAATAATTTATTAACATCATATACCATATTACATTATAAAATGTATACAAAACACGTTACCAAAAAATTATAACACTACCTAATGTATTATGTAACTTGAGATTGAATGTTTTGTTAAAATAAAATTGAATATATAATAAAATAATATACTATAAATATGTATTGTACTATTTTATATATAATCAATGATACAAATATATGTGACATTTGAAAATTATTTTTTTAATATTATATTTTACATCTTTAATACAAACTCAATTTTTTTCTTTCTGAGACTCAGTATATCAATGACTCCATCTGATGTTATTAAGAATGATCGGTAGCGTGGCAATAAGATAAACCCATATTTTAACCCGTTCTAATCATAAGAATTACATACTTATTAATAATTATACTTCAATAACAAACGGGAAAAAATGTAAAATATTCTCTTCCGTCATGGATGTTGTTGCTTAGAATGCTTAGATATAGGTAGAACTGTAGGAGTGTAGGACTTTACAGCTTACCATAGACTCGAAAAACATCTGACTGGTAAAGTACAAAATATTCTTAGAACAAAACCCTGATTTACGCATTTGCATGCGGTCAACAAGCACAGGGTTCCATTCCTAAAAAAAAAACTAAAAATTGTAATCTTTAAAGATATGTTTGGTATTTATACGACTAAGTATTTAATAAGCAATTATCATGGAATAATAAAAAGGATGTAAACATAATTGTTTAATTAATCGTATATTTTGTTTCATTTTTTCCGCCTAAAAGTATGAAGACTTAAATGTGTTCTTCTTTAACACAAAACTAAATTCTTTATCATTACTGGCAATCAATCATGATAATACAAAACAATTCATTTTAAAAACATATTCAGATTCGGAGCGAGAGATTTATTAGTTTAACTATGGTGTATTTTTTTTTGTGTCTACGATCACTGGTTTTTACCAGAGATCTTGTTCGAGAAAACATAAGATCTGATGTATCAAGTGTAGCACCTTTTCTAAAAGAAAATTGTATCTAGTTAGCGCATTGAAGAAGTAATTTTTTGGTTTTCTGAAGAGTTTTCATAGTAAATAGGAAAAATCGAAAAAAAAATTATAGGTAAAACGACAAGAAGGTAAAAAGAGCCCCAAAGTAAGTTTGTACAGGGTCTTTATTTCTTTAAATCAGGCCTTGCTTAGAAATATATGAATATTTGGATATAATACTTTGTCACAAATATCTAATACACGTATGGTTCAAAAGTCAAGAATGATATTTTCAGTAAAAGATCATAGCTCTCTGCATCTTTAACACCGAGGGGCCAGAATATTGGTCAATTAAATAAAAACTCAACAAACTTTTGAAATGCATCATTCTTTCCCTTATTTTCTAATGGTATTAATCGAGGTTTAAAAATATAATTAAATCCTAAAAAATTCGATTATAAGTATATGTTATAAGATGCTTTCAAAAAAACAGGTAGGTCAACCCTGGCACCTATTGTATACGCGTAACGGTGTTCGAAAATTAAAAATTATATCTACCTTTTTTATACAAATTATAGTTTTGTAGGATAGGCGCAAACAGGCTAAATATTTCGGGGTAGCTTAATCCCTCCCATAATACATATTAATTAAATAACTGAAGTATATTATATAGGTAATAATGATACTCGATGAGGAATTTATTGAGGGAAGGGGCTTGGTTAAATTTTGAAAATAATTGTGTGTATGACTTGGTGTTCATAAAAATAAGACGTACTTAAAAATAAAAATACAATTTCCATTAGTTGTGACGTGTAGTGGACCTACTCGTGACGTCTCTTATCATGCATGTTGTTTAAGAATGTTTAAATCCAAGAAATGTTATGCGTTACCTAAATAATTTTTAGATGTATGACTTCTGGCTTTCGGACAGTATAGGGAAAAATTCTCAGATGAATCCTGTAGCCCATTATATAACATTTCTCCCGATTACGATTTTCGACAAGAGCCGGACACCACGTTTAGGCTGAAATCGTATAATTATGAAACAAAACGCTTTTTGACCAGAGCATATTTTTCGAACGAAACCTTCGACACGGAAAAACATTAAAAACACGAGAATACCGAAATCGTTAAAATTAAAAACGAGTACCTACTGATGTTTTATAGGTACGTATAAACGATTGTCCCGAGCAAATAGGCTGTAATAAATCTAATTTATTCCGGCTTGCTGCCGCTCGAAAATAATATAAAACAAGCACCACGCAGTTTTTGCGTCGATTCTCGAAATTCGGCCAACTAAATATAATAATAATTCTAATGTGTCATACTATTGTCTTCACGTATAATTTTTGTCCATTTTTCATTTTTCTTATCGCGTCGACATAATATTACAATCATTATGCGAACGCAGCTATAATATACAACCAGCGGTTGAGGAACTCGTAAAATATAAATGTATAATATTCGTCATGTACCCAAAAATCGTTGAAAACGTTGTAGGTCTCATTATACTCGTCATCATAATTTTAGTGTAGGTAACACCTTTTTTGACCCGAGTGCAATTCGACCATTATACCTACTTATTTTTTTTCAACTCAAGTGCAAGTCGATTTTATCAACCCGTAATACCCTTTTTAATCATAGACAGAATCTAAGGTAAAATCTTGGAGGCAGGTTGTGATAAAATTAAAAATGTATTAGGTATGGAAAAAAAAGACTTTATTCCCCTTCCCCCCAGATGTATCCCTTCCAATATAGAAATCAGTATTATAGTTATCAGTTAGTATTAAGTACTTAAGATTAAAATATTAAAGCAAAATAGGAATAAAAATACAAACAGTTAAACACTTATAAGCAGGTATTAATAAAAAATGCGTACACAAAACGAAGTCATAAATTAATAAATGAAACGTATTATACAATATAAATATTGATTTAATGGTTTAAAAATGTTTATTGATTAAAAGTCTTAATAGTTTATAATGCACATAAGTGTTACTAGACCAACCTAACCTAACCTAACCAACTTTGGAGGTGCTAAAATTATAAACACATCAAAAACCCACGAGGGGTATGCCACCCTCCCACATACCCCTTTACACGGCTCTTACGATAGGTAACTACACATTCCATTTATAATTTTTTATACACAAATTGTTCATAACTATGAATATTATTTTTAATACACATACGCATTGTCTGTATATTGGATATTTGTATTTTGTTCTGCTCGTTAATTATGAAATACGAGAATTAAGTATTTATTCGATATTATGAAAATGTTGATCGGGTTTCTTAGAGGTTCTAATTTTAAACTTGGGGGTACTAAAGATCCGTTATTCCCTAGCACCCTCCTAGTTGCGCCTATAATAATGCAACACGTTTTAATAATATTTTAATGCAATATTGATAAATGTTATACCAATATTAATATTTATTTGCTGTTGGTCATGATTTGATGCGCCTTCAAAGGCTTTCAAATTCATCTATTACATGATAGCCAGCACAGCGATAATAAAAATACTGTGCTCGCTAGCATCGTAATCATGAAATAAGATATTTTCAATCGTAATCTTAGATACTTAATAAATTTCATTGTAACTTATAACAGGGGTGGGGGCAAAAATACATTATTTCCATTCAGTCAAATATGGGAGGGGATGTTAACCTCTCTTACACCCCCCCCCCCGGATTACACCTATTCCTGTAAATACGTCACTGTACCTATGTATAGGTAATAATAATATAGTTTATAAGAAACAATATTTTTGTGAAAACTCACTAGCTAGTGCTTAGGGTGGCAAATAAATATAAATAACGCGCCGAGAGTTGTCTAAGAAAAAAAAACTCCAGACGATTATAATGGTGAATGTTTTTTTTTCTGTTCTCGCAGATGCGACAAAATACACACGTCGCACCTATTTTTGTTCGTAAGAATACGACGATGCTAATTTTGACGAAACATCGACATATTAATAATAATAAAAAAAAAACAACGTATCTATAATATTACTCGTTTTTAAACGTTTTATTGTTTTCCATTTTCACCCACAAAATGTATCCAGGTACAACGTGTTACTATAACGGTATTATACCCTATAGATCATAGGTTCCCACCTATGGTCCACGGACCACCGATGGTTCACTAGACGTTGTCAGCGAACCTAAGAAATTGTAAAAACCATGCAGCTACAGGACCACACAACTATTATAGATGGCACAGTATTAACAGTGTTTGCATTTTAGTTTTATATTTTCCAAACCGAGATAATATTATAATTATCATACAGAATAAACGTGAAGTCACAATTTTAATTTAGAAAATAATCACAAACTGTGGTAGGTACCTACCTAATGTTGTATATTTACGATACATTAACAACCCCGGAAAATAAATAATACGTATAAATTATAAAGCGTTTTCGACGGTAATCGAATTTTAACATAATTAATAAAATAAAATACCAATAAAAGGAGCCGCAAGTCCGCCGGATTACCGAGTTTAACTCGGTGACCCCGACAAAATTTTACTTGTTTTTAATTGAAGGCGTCAATTTCATTATCTATTTTAAATACATGTTCACTGTTAAACTGCTAAAACTCGGCGGTTCTATACATTTCATATCCACGGAATCCTGACGAGTGTCTCTTCGTCTCACCCTGTACGCTTATCTAACCTAAATACAAACCTAAACCTGATTAAACATTTAAATGGCACATTTATAATCTAATAATAAAAATAGTATACAAAAATTAGTACCATAACCCCCCCCCACAACCAACACCCAAATGATTGTATGCCTAAAATAAATTATTAATTTTATTATAGGTAAGTGCAGACTTTAAATTTGTCTATCGAAAACATTGTCAACTAACGAAATTGTAACATATTATGTACAAGTATACAATAATATATAATCAGACTTGGGAAAAAATTCATATTGAGTTCGAAGAATATCATACCAAAAATACTGTGTTAGCCGTCCTTTAGTAGTTAAATTTCGTGATAAAAAATACACAGCGTCGTATAGGTTAGGTTAAATATTATGGTATAATAATCTTGTTTTAAATATCAAGTGCACATTTTCTTTAAAAGATCGGAGTAAAATGTTGTATAAGGTCCAGAGTGCAGACAGACAAGACAGAATTTCAATTTTATAATATATTTCACATTTATATTTATAGCTATTATACTCTGTCAGTAGCGTCGCGTGAGAGTATTGGACATGTTTTCTCGATTCTCACCTAATAAATAGAAAATAATATTGTATATACGCGCACAGGGATCCGAATTCCCTAGTTTCGATCTCAACTCAAACCAGGCGACCGTTATGTCATTGTGTCATTGTTTATGATGATAGTTTCACAGGTATTAAACTCTAATTTTTAAATTTGGAAAAATTGCAAAAAAGAAAATTCATAAAACAGTTTGAAATTTTCACAAAATCACAATACGTTTTATATGAATATATATTCATAAAATAATCTATATGGGCATTTTCTTGTGTTTTTGTGTTCAATAACTATAATGTGGGATGCCGAAAAGATGTTTTGGAAATTGATCATTTTCATTTCTACCTGTATAAGCTTACATACATAGATACATTAATGTCCTGTCCTGTACAGCTTCCGTCATTGTCTAAGTTCAAAGCCATTTTAAACTTATTTTCGTAGTTTAAATTGTATGAATTGGGTATTGGCGATTCGCTGTGGTAGATACCTACCTAACCGCTACTATACGCACGCGCGATTCGGTTCAATAATATAAACCTTCAGGTTAACCGCTTTTTTTCGCTCGTAGGAAACACGGTGAATAATACAAAATTAGAACGAAAAATAAACGTAAATAATATTATCAATTATATTTATATTAACTAAATTATTAACATGACCGATCGCTCGAAATAGACTGGACAGTCGACAGCTCAACACACTGATGAATGTAGTGTAGACTATACAATATTATGTTTTTATTTTTAGACGTATTCGCCGGCCCGGAAGTCGGGAAAACGACAACAAAAACATAGACGTAAAATTCCCAGTTACAAGAGTAGCGCGTGTTGCCAGGTTATCAATGGTTCTATTCACGAAATATCACGGCATGAAATCGTCTGTAACTCGTAATCGTTAAAAGTTGCACAAATTTCCGTTGTGCACTTTGTGTTAAATTTTCAAGCTTTCCTCTGAAGTCATATAATTTTAATAACAGATACCTACCAAATGAAAATTTAAATATAAAATACCTATAGATAGACTAAAAATAGTTAGAATATTTTAAAAATTCGATCACGTGTACAAAAGGCCAATATAAGTATTCTGTGAAAACTGCAGCTGATCTTTGTAATGATCTTTAACCGAACAACAAAAAAAACCAAATGCCGTACACTTTGCTATATTTCTTACATTTTTTCTCGGTTTTTCGTCAGGGCCGGCGTTAAGGGTGGACGACCAGGGCCTACACCCAGGGCGCCTACTGTAAGGAAGGGTGCCTCAACGATAATAACTGTACTCGATTAATTGGAGGGACGACGCAAAAACATGGTTCCGCCCAGGGCGCCAGCGTGTGTAACGCCGGCACTGATTTCATCATTAGTAGGTAAACTATTTACGATTTTCGGTAAATCAAACACGGACTTTCTTACTCACAAACTGAACATTCTTGAAATTCGGACAAAGACTAATTCTGGTAGAAAAATAATTTTAAATAATGGAATTGTGCGCCGTAATTATTTGAAAAATCGTAGTTCACGTCTTTTTTGGTTTTTCCCAATTATTATAAAAACTACTTTAGATATCAGAAACTGACATTCTTAGTCAATGACGATATACTTAGTTTTTGGTACAGCTATAAGTTATCGGAAACGACTTAAAATCCTGTTGAAACAGGTAGCATAGGTTAGGTCAGAAAAATCGAAAAATAAATAACAATAAGAAAGTTATAACGCCATTATAAATTCAAAAAAACCGAAAATTATCATATTTTTTAATCCCAATTGTTTTCGTCCTTAATTTGCTCGTATGGGGAAATTACTTTTTTTCATAACGAATTCGAACAAATAAAGAATGTGTTTAAAGTCTAAATAGGTACGTATTTTAAGAACTGTCCTGAATACAAACTCCTAAATCCAGTGGTGCGTTGACTGTTTTGGTCTCATCAACGACGGCAACATAATAAATTTAAAGGCGTTACTTAGAAGTTCCAATAAGTATTCAACGTCGTAATGTTCCGAGTTAGATCATAAATTGTGGCGTTAAAATTAGAATTGAAACACAAATTTAAATAGAAAAATATTTCCGAGGGTATAAATAGTTTTTTTCCTCTAAAAAAATTGTTATACTTACAATAACTTACAGATATTTAAAAAAAAAAAATCAAAAAACAAAATTAACACAATAAATTTGATTTTGTTTTTACAAATTTTTACGTTATTTTAACGTTTGATTATTTTTTTATACATCTAGACGATGAATACCAAGTGACTATAGCGATTATCGACGACAACTAAACATTTCTATTCTTTAAATACTATATATATATAATAATCTAATTAAACGTTATTTTACAAAATATTAAAAACGACATCACAATAATAATTTTACCTACACTATAGACAGTCTCATCTTTCGGCGTAGTGCGGATAAGCCAGAAGCAAAAATACAATAATATTGTATGAGTAAGTATAATTAATTAATATTAACAGCTCCTGGAAATAACAAAACTACTCTATTTTTTCATTTTTGTTGGTACTTTTGAGTGGTAATAATATTAAAGGGGCAAAACAAGATACATATAATAGTCCAGTGAAAAAAAAAAATCTATATTAGATTAAAAATATTCATATATTTTACACCTGTACCGGTTGTATCATACATGATACAGGTATGAAATAGGAATATTAAACTCTTAAATCCTGAAATGTTATCAAAATGTAAATGGCTATTCCCGTTGTTTCCATTGACCCCGTACGTACATTTTTACGAATTAACATTATCAACCGGAAGTGAAAGAATTTAAAACTGTTTCACATTCCACAGTGCCGTAGTCAGGATTTCTCTACGGAGGGGGGGGGAGAGGGGAGGCGATTAACAAAACAAATATAAACCCAACATTTTGTGCGAACGTTAATTTCTTTAATTAGGTTAATTAATCACCTTTATATAGGTACATTTAAATAAAATAATATACAACTCGAGTAGATGATATACTTAACCGATGTGGGAATGGGAAAAACTTCGAAGGGTAGCTTTATTCACCGAAAATTGAGCAGCGTTCCCGAGAACCACGAGTAACTAAACATAACCAAACACCCGTTGTATGTTGATAAGACTTCAAAATGTTTTTCTCACATTTGTTCACAAAAATGTTATACTAATATAAAGTTTATAAATAAACTGCACATCCCCTCGAGTATTAATTCTAAGCATATACCTATACCTGCTTAGTAAAAATAAAGTAAAATAGTCATTAAGGAAATTATTTTTAACAAATCTAGTTTTTAAATTGTTATTAAAAATGTTGCATTGGCAATAATTATAAAGCGTCCCCTCGGAGCAATACCAAAGAGGACTGATCATTTTACGTTGAATAAGAAGAGGGCACCGTACCCCCTCATTTTAAATACTAGATGCCATATGATAATTAACCCTATTGTGGCAAGAAGTGACATAAATACGAAACAATTACGATGAATATATTAAAAAAAACGGTTTTACGAATAGAAAGTTTACACAGCAGATGGTTCTTAGAGTAGGTATTCTCCTAGTCAATGAAATATTAGATGCACCTAATATAATAATACATTTGAAACAAGGGCGTCGATTCTGTTTTCTTTTTAGGGTATGTGAGATTTCAGATATACCTATGCACATCATCCTGTTTCTAGTTTGTTGTCATTATTCACAGCATCAGCATAAACAGTAAAAATTAAAAAGCAATTAAAAATCTAAAAAATAATAAACAATTATTATTGATTAGATATTTTAGCCGTGAAAACCAATAGGTAAGTAATTCACGGATAGGTCGGAAAATACAAAAAAAAAAGAATGGAAAACACTATCAAAGCACATAAATTGCCATTTATACTTCATATCTATAACTTTTGTAAGTGCTAAAAGAGTTTTGTATGAAAAATATATACCGGATATCGGTTATTTTTAAGTTTAGCATAGTGGTATATCTACGATCTACTATTCTACCATGAACTAAGATTATACCTAAAACTAACAATTTAACCTACGGTTCATTATGAAAAGCTACGGTTATGTAGAAAATGCAGGTACCTATTGTTTTGTTAGGTACTCAATTAATTGACAACACGATATTTGTTCATTTACCTATGTAAGTTTATAACTACGATTGACTGTTGAACACCAACAATATTGTTAATCTAAATGTACGATCTAATACATGAATACATAAAATAATAATGTTAGGGACAACATATCAGCTAATCGGGACTATAAACAAAGGGCGCAACTGCATACCCTGCTCCCAAATGAAGCCTTTGTATAAAATCGAGAAAAAAAAAAAAACTGTAATCCGTTTTGCCATTGGCGACGAAATACTCATTAGGTACTTACAATATGTTATGATAACGCGAGCACGTTGCCGACAGTCGCGCAGATAGTTAAAATACCAACGAATATCGTTATTATTTTACGCGCATCGTATTTTAATTTAATGTTAATAATATAATAATGTTCTACATAGGTAGTTTACCTCCGGGTGTTTGAAACGACGAGTTCACCTTCACAATGTTGACGAGAAACGAATGCATTGAATGTGCATAAATATTATATTCGTAAAAAACATAATATAAACTAATTCCACGCGATTGGCGTAATTCAGCATCGTACGAGAACGGTGACGTATTCTCGTACGAGCAAGTAGATTGTATAGGCTGTAGTCGCGTGATTGCTGATAATAAAAAAAAACCACTGTTCAATTTTCTTCGGCCGACATTGACCTAAACATGATTTAGAGAAGATTACAATAACGTTCTATAATAGGCCATTCAATATTTATGCTGGTATGCTCCAAAAATAATCTTAAAATGTACAAAAATCTTTCAAATATGAAAGATAAAATGTATTATACAGAATCGTTCGGTCGACGACGGTCATATACACGTTTTGGTATAAACTATTCTTTTTCTCTCAAATCAATAATACGCAAAATAATAAAAATACCCAGTAGCGTGTTCAGGAATTATCAATGGTAAGGGATAAAGTAAATGTTAATCATAAATAAATGCATTATCTTCTAAACCAAACTAGACAATAGGAATTTAAAAGCCTGGTTCATAAACTAATTTTTTTCTTGTAACTTAGCTGACATATATAAACATTTCAAGATTAAATTACTAAGAAAATACTCTTATTTGTTGTTAAAAATCCAATGGTCAGATATAACTCCTAACCACAGTCGTCTTGTGCATAATACTGTAAATATCTACTCTAATGATAACTAACTTATTCAATTTACTGTATGATTTACTAATTACTATTATACAAGACAAATAACGAAACTTACAGATACAGATAAAATTAGTTTATTTATTAATTTGAAATAGGTACATGATGGATATAAATCTGATACTACAAACTGATAATAATAATAAAAAAAAACACTATACTAATTTTTATTATTAAATACCATTGGGTATGCACACAAAAATACTATAGGAATTAGATTGTGTGTGTGACAAACTAAAACACAAATATGATTTTGGAATTTTAAATACTATAATTGTAAAAAAAAAAAAAAAAAAAATAGGAAAAGCGATTCAATTGTGGTGGATGATAGTATTGTATATAATATTACACAAATAATGATGTTAACTGAAAATAATTCAAATTATAGAAAATAATAATAAATAAACATAGAAAAGTTATACAAATGTGTATTATATATACAATAAATAGAAAAAAAATAATACAAATCCTTTAAATCTGTGAGAACAGATCATTCGGGAAAGGAAACAAATACATTTTTTTTTTTAATTAAATGTAAAAAAAAAAAATTATAATTAAGTCTTCGGCAGCGTACACTTATTATATTAGTTAATAATAACCATTTAAATAGATAACGCATTGGATCCACTGGGAATCAATATTAAAACGAAACCAGCGACTAAAAATGTAAACATTAATATCCGCGGGTCGACTGCCAGAAGAAGAGATCTGAATAGGTCCAATATTTCTGTAATCATAACATATACAATGTTAATAAGACAAATAAATTATTATTTGTTAATTAACTTTAAATTAATAAACTAATACATTTCTTCTATGTATTAAGTTTTCTTGTTTTTAATGAACAATTTTTTATTTATTGATAACAGGTATATTAAATAACAAATATTAATTTTTTTTCTCTACAACTAAATGTTATTTTAATTTTAATCATTCATCTAATAAAATCTAATTATTGCGATAAAAGTTTGGGTTATCTAGTCAGTTATAAATAGATACTAATTATTTTTCTATTATAGACATGAAAGATTAATATTGTATTATAATAATATTATCATCATATCATTTAAGTCCATATAACAGGTTATTCCATGTTATCACCATTCAGTTTTATAATAAATAAATAGATGAATGGTTTATAATTGCTCAAAATGATATATTATATGTCCAATTGAGTGAGAATATATTCAAAAAGAAGTACATATTTAAAATAAGAAAAAAAAAATGATAATTTTATATTATTTAAATATTAGTATAATAAATGGCGTAATCTTAAATTATAATATAATTATATAACCCAAGTGTATACTATATACAATTTTAGAGTGGATAATAACTATTATTTATCTTTACTAATATTGGACCGTTTAAAAGAAACAACAGAATAATATCTTAGTATTAGAACGGAAAATTCTGGGGACGATTTTTGACCATAGCATAGACAGGAATACACGAGTGGAGATTAGGGAACTAAATCAGAAACTAAACATAGTCGATGATATAAGAAAGAGGCAGCTCTTTTGGGCTGGCCACACATAGCAAAAAGAAAAAACCCTTCTATATAAAGTCCTCTGTGGCTTTCCAGAAGGCGTAAGACAAATTGATAGATCTAGGCTGAACTGGATGCTGATTTGTGAGTCCTAGCGGAAGATAGGGTAAGATGGCATGACATGTGTTTGTCAGTTTGGTCTTGAAGACCATCAACTAAGAAGATATTTAATGGTTAAATCTAACATTAATGCATATCTTTCACAATAGAAATCAAAATTATAATTTTCTTCGATTCACGGAATAACATTATACTAAGAGAAAATCCACTTCTCTTGTTCTTATGATACAAAAGTTATGTATGTGTAATATAGAAAATCCACATACTCATTTTTAATATCTATGAGTTTCCTATTTATAAAAACAAAATTTAATTTATTATTTGTATCTATATCAGTAATAAGTTTAGGTAAATTTTGATTGAAGTGTTGTAATATTTGTTGATAAGACAGGTGAAATCTCTTACCAAGTTAACTGTATCTGTGTATTCATTTAAAAAAAAAAAAAAAAAAACCCAGCTATCAAAACTGTCAATACAAAATATTACTTTAAGTTTTTACTATAATTCATTGTTAAAAATATTAAATCAGTGCTTGAACTTAGAGATACAGATGAAGTTTACTTTAAAGTTTTTTATAAATTTATTTAATTAACCAAGCAATGCTTTATGAATTGTTTATCTTTATTTGGATGGCTTGGTGAGAATGGGACTAAATCATATTTTGGAAATTTCAGGTTTTCATTTTTTCATTTCATTTTCTAGTATTTATTGTCATATCATATATTGGCACTGTAATCCAATCATATATTATTGTTACTATGACAAACTGACTACTGGCAATTATCACAATTTTACATTCATTAACAGTTGAAAAAAAAAAAGAAAGAGAGCACTAACTTTATTTCAATTCATTGTATCCTCATGAAGCTTATCATAATTTTTAAGCAAAATTAAAAACAAAAGAAAATTTAAAAGATCCAATTGTGCCAGAAGAAGATATTGATTAATGTTTATCACTTTTTACCAATTGTTTTCATATTAATTAAATTTAATATTATCCCTAAAGTAAGGAATTCTGTTATCCTTTTAAGCTTTATTTTGTTGATGCTTTTTATTATTATAGGTTAACAATTTTTAATAAATAAACTCAACATTTAGATTCACGACAAAGATTTCTATAGGGAAGTTTTTAATCAAATATTTTATGATAATTAATAATACTTTTTGATTTTACCCCAAATTTAAGTACTACTAATAATAAATATAACATATATTTAATCAATTTCTTTTTCTTCATCATTTAAGTGATGTTGATTAATCTAAACCAGCTCTTATCTCTTTACATATCCAGATTATAAACTTTAACCATCATCATCCACTTTTATAGTTAATTCTTTTATTGCTCTTTTTTTCAGTTATTTCCTTAGTTAATATGGCTAATGTCCACGTATAGTAGATAAATCAACTTAGTTTCCTAAATACATTTCATCGTATAGGTCATTGTGAACTATTTTATAACCATAACTCAGTTCTTTAAATGAAACACAATCATTACCAGATTTTAGTATTAAAATAAAATATACATATTATATTATTAAAATAATACTTACGTTTAAAATATGGGTTCACAGGTAACGGTGTCCTGTTCAGTAATATTTTATGGGTTTTTAATGTATCCAACAGTACTTGACTGTTTTTATCCATGGCTTGTAGATAATCGGGCATCATTAACTGTCGATTCCACCAGATTCCTCTTTTTCTAAAAATAAATATTATTAACAATAACAAATATTTAATAAAGTCAATTTTAATTTACAAATGGAAGATAAAACATTATTTTTAATTGTATAACTAAATGTAGTTACATAATTAATGTCATCAAATAATTATTTTAATTATAAATATAATTATCATTTAAAAATTGTAATTGTAATATAACAATTTTTATTAAAGAGAGTACTTTCTATTAATTTGTTTCTATATTTAATTAAAAATTTGGTATGGTTAAATGAATACCTTTGTAGCGGCGACGCAAATTTATATTCGTACAAGGCAACTTTGATGAACTTAGGTGGTTTTTTAACAAATGGATTTTGGCTTGTGTTCAATAGAGAAAGAACTTCTTTTTGGTTGTTTAACAAACGATAGATAAGGCCATATAACCAAGGATTTTTATTTGGCGAAGTATGAGCAGCGAAAAACAATTGTCGATCAAGTAATGGCTTGTATGGCGCTAAAAACAAAATAATTTTAACTAAAATAGTGTAAAAGATAATATAATATATTAAATACAAAAAATACAAACCAATAATCGGCGGTGTTGCATTTACATTTCCAGGTTTATATAAAAACTGATATTCATACCAAGGTCCTTTAATATCATTAGCTCCTTGTATTATAATTTCTCTACGGCGTTCTGGGGATATTAATTCTTGATGTGGTACATAATGGTTACTCATTTTGAATGGAGCTAATGTATTATAAAACAAAATAACATCTTTGGCAGCAGTGTTGTTAACACTTGGATGAAGTGCTGATAAAGGCACTGTGCTCAAGGAAAACGAGCCCAAACAAACACAAATATACATCGTTGATGTTATCATAGTTCCGAGAGAGCCATAAGTATTACTTGATAATGGTAAGGAAGAATAAAGGGATTTCAAACATTCAAAAATAAAAGATCCCAATGCAAAATGGGCAATATATGGCAAATAAATTTTTAAAATAAAATTGAATTCTTTGGGTGTTATTGCTGAAAAAAAAAAAAAAGATTAAATTGTAAATAGTTAACAAGAATAACTATTTTAAAAATAACTAGTAATTTAGTCTAAATTTACATAATTTGTATTCGGGTGTATGGTCTGGTGTCAAACGGAAATCGTACATCATGAGAAAAATAGCCATTAAAATTGTGATTGCATTGAATGCCATAAGTTTGGTGAACACAGAAGATATCCATTGGCGTGTTCTAGTTAGAGCCAATTCTAGAACAGGAAGATAAATAATAATATTGAACAATAATTTGACTTTTAAAAGAAAAACATGAATTATAAATTAATAACTAAATAATAAAGTTTTACCTCTATAAAATGTATAGTCATCCAACAACGACAAACAGAGAACAATGTATAAAAGATTATAGTAGCTATAATTTCCAGATGTTAAAATTCCAATTTGCATCAATACCTAGACAATTTTTTATTTTATATTATATTATTAATAATTCAGTATTATTAATGTCAATATCATTAACAAATAAAAATAATTTTACCTGGATATAGAAGGCAATTTTTCTCACAGATCGTATAGGTATTAAGAACATAAAAGGAACAAATATATCATTAATTTCTGCGAAAACAGTAACAGTTTTTAAAAACCACACTGGAAAATAATGTGCGTACCAGGAAACAACATTTGGTAGAGGCATAGTTTCAAAATATTCTGACATAGCTGAAACAGAAAAAAAATTACTTAATATAATATAAATTTCAGAGCTAGTAATTAAAATACAACAAAGTTTTAAATATAATTAGGGAATTATATTAATTACGGGTTATTTAATATAAATTTGTTAGGTATGTGAAATAATGTTGCCCTTTTTTTTACTTGTTTATAGAATTAAATAAAAAGTGTAATACATTTCTTACATAACAATAATTAATTTAATTTGAATTAAAGTTTGGGTAATATATAATTTCAGAAAATAACTTACCAGTTAAATGGTACCAACTGTTTGACTTAGAAGTCATTTTAGCAATACCAGCAGAAAACGATACTCTGAACAGCAACCATCTAACGAGCCAAAATGTAATAGAATCTGATGGTTCAGATTCAAGTGAAGTTTGTAGACGTAGATTGCGTTTTTTAATAACTTTTGGTCTTTCAAATGGAAGCGGAGCGATCAATATACATAAGAATCCTACTTCACACAGTAACTCATCACTAAAACAAGAAATATTTGCTTAAATAAAACATTATTACATCTAGTAAATATTAAGTATTGAGTAACTTACGCCAAGTCTGATACAAATATTTGACCAACATGGTACAATGATAAATAAAAAGCCCAAAGAAGGAAAAATACAATTTTGTTGCAAAAGCCTTGTTTCAAAAACCTTAAAAAAAATGAATAAATAGGTACATTTAATTATTTATTATTACAATACAATTTTATGCATCAAAGGATTTATCAGAAAAAAACAACCTAAAAAATATTGAAGACTAATTAAATAAGAGTAATATTTTTTAAATTTAATCTTGAATGATTATTATGCTTAAATTTGTTTGTATTAACTACCTATTCAAAATTAGTGAAGTTACATAATATAATATACATTTGTGGTGTTAAATTAATAAAATATACAAACAATCATGCATATTAATCAAATAACTTAGTATGAGACCAACACAGTAAAATTGTATAAATAATAAAATGTAATGAAACAATTTAAACATAAATAATTTTATCTCTAAAAAGATGTTATCAGTATGTCTATTTTATTTGTATTTTAATAAAATATTATGTTATACATTGTACGTTTTATGATAATCTTATATAATAAAATTAATTTAAGACGTCACACCGGCATAACTGTCTTATAAATGTGACATAGTAAATTTGCGTTCAGTAAGACAAATTTTGTTACGTTAGTTTTAACATCAAAGTGAATTGAGCTATTACTAAACTTAGAGGTAAAAAGATTATTTGTGTCCTAATGTTAAAATTATTATAATATTTAAAATTTTTAAGTGATGTATGAGTATGTGAAGGTTTAAAAATAATTATATATTGCTGTGGGTTTATAAGACAAAGTCAGTAAATGACAGTGTGTCGTCCTCTTATGATATAAACTTACCCAAGAAATGAGAATAATATTCCAATCAAACACAATACATCAAACATGTATTCATGGTTCAAACCAAATTTTGTTGCATACCATAAAAGTGTACATTTTGCTCCAAATTTGGTGCTCAACAGTGGACTATCATTAATTAATACATTCTTGACAGGTAACACACCATTTTCTCCATATAAACCTATAGGTACACATTAAATTACATAGGTATTATTAAAATATGAGAGATAAAGATATTCTGTGTAGGGTATTTATTAACAAATAGGGTATCATGTAATAATTTTAATCTATATACATATTGGGTACAGGGTATTAATATCTATTAAACCACCTATTTTGTGTACATACGAGCAGCAATCAACGTAATAATATCATTGAAAGCCAAGACCTTGGGTATTGTATAATAGAAGTCAAAATTTGAGTATTGAGGAAAGAAAATGAAAATAGGGTATGTATCTAGTAGTTATTAGGTAATTAATAAAAATAAATTTTGCTCAATACACAATACATTATGTATACTTAATTGCTTTATATATAACCCAGATACTGAGTATTGGTCAAATATGGTATCAAGTACTCAATTGAAAATGTGAATAAATAAAATTGAAATATTTTTTTAAAAGTTAAAGAGTTAGGTTAACTGCCTGGTATTACATTGAATAAGAATTTAAAAAAGGGCAACTAAACTTGTTTAAGGTTAGCTATTGAAAAAGTTTTCTAAAATACTTAAAATACGCAATTTTGTAATGGTATGATAGAGAAAAAGTAGCGATCTCCGAATTTATTTACAATAGGTAGCCTAGTGTCTGCCAGGTTTAACATAATCTCAAGTACTATATAAATAATTATAAAACACAAATTACCATTAAATGGGGAAATGACATTTTAAAACACTTATACATATATTTCATTCTATAATGTTCTTAAGGTACTAATAGGTAATAATAAAAGTAGCCACCAGTAAAGTGAATACAATAAATTAAAAATTTGATATTATTCATGATATTACAATAATTACTTACTTACCTACCTATATTAATAGTTTTTGAAATATAAATATAAATATTACATAAAGTACTAATACCTATTTATAATTATATAATTAATTATCAATAGGTACCTGATTATCTCATTTAGTTCATAATATTTTATTATTTTACTGAGTAAAATAATAACTTCTAAAATAATATAGAAGTACTTAGGTATACAATATAGTTTGTATAGTATCTAACCTTTGAGTCTCATTATTGACACGCAAAACAAACATATCATAATTACAATATTGTGTCAACAAAAACATAAAATAGAATTGTATTTAGCTGATTTTATTCAAGTAAAACATGTTGTCACACGTTTTACCTATTCTATAGGAAAACATATATATATAAAAAAAAATAAAATCCAAAAACTAAAATCCGTGTCAAACAGTAATAATAAAACTAATTGAAAGTATAGTATAAAAACTCACCGGAGTTTTGAACGTAGAGCACAATGAATGCTTGCAAGAAAATCACCGAAACTCCTCTTAGAAATAAGTTTCTTGTATACCTGATGAACTGCATGTTTGTAAAATAATTAATACTTATTAAGTACCAATACTTGTCGATTGTTGTTTGCAAGTCACACGAGGGAAACGTGAAAGTCAATATATGAAAATCATAGTGCTCCTGAACAATTTAAAAACGACCGTTCCAACGAATTCTCGCTAACGAGTAACGAAACGAGAGACCACACCGCAATAGTGCAGTAGACAAGCGTAAAACAACGTCGTTTGCCGGACGGCTATCGGTTTTTTTCTCATTCGCCCTCTCTCACTCTAGCGCGTGCGTGCGCACGTAAGGTGTTACCAACAAAACGGCACGAAACCGTACATGTCTTCGGTAATGTGGAACCCGCTGATTGGTCGGCCCACCTTAGAAAATTACCATCCTGTCGAGGGTTAGTAACCCGGTTACTGGTCACCACACTAAACATTATGCGGTTTCGCGGGGCTCGAGCTGACGCTGACTACACAAAATAAGCGTTCATAAAATTAATTCTGTAGAAATAATTTATTCGAAAAAAAAAACCATTTGTCAGTTGGTACCTACTTCCTATTTATCGAATTCGAACCGTGACGTCGATGGTGTAGCTCTCGTAGGGTTTTATTTTTTTACACAGGTGGTCGGGTGGTCAACTATGGGGACGTTTGACGAGTATGTAGGAAGTATTTACTCGGAGTAGAGTATTCAGTTATTTATGCAAAAGGCGACTTAACAATATAACAATATATTTTAGCATACAGCTTACCTATACATATTTTATATATAGTTGTCTTTTATCGATGAAATGGGCGGGTGGGTGAAATAATTTTACCACACTCAATCGTGACGTAAGTGTACGCCACCATTGAATACGAGTTCTACAGGCAAGAAACGAATGAAAAAAAAAATAAAAATAAAAATCCGCTCGTTTCGATACGAACAATATAATTGTTTAGGTAGGTAAGTAGCTGCGCAGATGTTTTAAACGCCAATTTCCGTTTACAACGTTATTCATTTCCCCTAAAACCGTGACTCAGTGTACCGGACGATCGAACTTTTTGACTGCTACGGTTTTGTTGAGAATGACTTGTAAAATATTTTCGAGCCTATTGATTTTTCTCCTTTTTTTTTGAAAAATGTCCGAATATCTTTACTAATACCAAATTGCCTATACAAAACCCCTTAAATATTTGACGTGTGCTAATTTAGGTAGCAGGTACCTATACCGTTTACCTTCGGACTTTCTGTAGACATTTATTTCTGCTGACGAGTCTCCGTGAAAAAAGGTGTTCAAAAATAAGTATTATTGATTCGATAATATATTGAATATTGATCGGTTTCAGCTGCTATGTAAATACGATATTTCGTTTTTTTTATATGGTATATATATAAATGCAGCGATTTGATGCGATACGATGGCTGCACATTTCTTGTGTGAGTCATCGCGACGGTAAATAATAAATATTCATATATTTCATATAGATACGATATAGGTTACGATCGACTCGAAATAAAAATGTAAATTTGTATTATTTCGTTCACGTATATATTATATTGATGTAATAATATGCGTATACAAACCAATTGCGGATTGCGGATATAAAAATATATATGTTACAGTTAAAACCCGAAATCCGTCAAAACTTGTTTCCACAAATCCCTTTAGTCAATTCTAGTTTTGACTAGTTAAAACTAGAGTTAACTAAGACCTTCACCGGTAAAACTAGATTTAACTTATTTTTGTTTAGTTAGAACTAGTTGTGTCTGAAATATAGTGGTGAAAACTAGAATTATCAAGTGAAAATCCATAATTTTTATTTCGATAGTTTAAACTAGTTGCGCGAGACAAACACACACGTAAGTACAACGGAAACAAACGAACTGGTAAAACTGAAAATACGGGGACAAAAGCTACAGCGGCCGGATTATTATCCATCGGATATAATCGGTCGAAGTAATCATATCTAAAAGTGATTTGATGGACGACTGGTTAAAGTTATCTGAATTGATTTGATAGCCGGCCAGTCAAATTTACGGAGCAATATTTATAGATCGCATGTAATTGCGTGCGTTTTAGAGAGTGCAGGTTCGAATACATGCTTTTCAGTAAAAACTGGTTTTGACTGACTTATTTAAATCTGTAATTGATTCTAGTTTTAACTAGTCAAAACTAGAATTGACTAAAGGAATTTGTGGACAGCGTTTATTTGGTTTTTAGATTCTGAGCGAACGAGGGATCAGGAATGTATACAGGGGTTGTAGTACACTTTTTCCAATCCATTTTTTCGAGTCAATTTTACTTTTATAAAATCATATAATTTTTTCAATTAAATCTAGTAAGTCCCGGTTTATTCAATAATAATAAAAAAAAAATAACGCCTTAATCTAACTTAACCGGTCGGTAACTCAATTTTATAGCGGCGAGCGTTCGGAGCACGGCATAGTGCATTTCCACTATATTATAATACTCGTATTATATTGAAACGTAGTAAAATTCCAAAAGGAGGGTTGTAATAGAACCGTGTAGTTGGAATTATGCAAGTTAGCAGAATGGACGGAATTAAGGTTATTCGAGACAGATACGAACTCGTCGAAATATATGAACTGACTATATTTAAAAAATGCTTATATGACATACAATATTTTATGCATTATTGCATTGCGATAATGATACACAATATTAGATTCTGAGTGGAGCGAAGAAGCTTATGGTTTTACAAAGATGTTTATTTTTCATAATTTTTTTTATATGTTAACAATTTTTCTACCAGAAGACTTGCTCGGATTTTTAAGTGTAGCATTTTTTCTGAAAGGAAATCGGCGTAGGGAGGTACTTTAGGGAGGTCTTTTTTCTCAGGAGTTTTTTCATCAAATTTAAAAAATCGAAAAAAAACGGAAAATGTACGAAATATATTACTAAAATATTACTATTTTTTCTCCTTTGCACAACTATTCAACCAGCAATTTGCTCCAAATGACAGCAATGTTTCAAAAAGGAAATTTCACTAGGGAGATACTTTAAAGAGGTCATTTTTCGATTTACATAGGGGTTTCCCCATAAAATGTGAAAAACCGCGATAAAACACGGGAAAACCGGGAAAGACATAGGAAAACTGGAAAAATTGGTACAAAATTAAACAAATATTATTTTAGAAAATATATTAAGTCTATTTAATTATTTTATTATAAAATGACTTATATATTGTTGACAAAGCATTGCAATTAACTGAACTCCCATGTAGAATTGTTTTTACATAAGCAATATTTTATCGTTCCTTACAGGTATACATTAAATTATCTATAACAGAGGCTGCACCCGTCCCCATTATCCTAGAACGTCTTTTATAATAATAAAATTAATATTTTTAATATTGCTCCGATTTTCTGGTGTAGCACTTTTTCTAAATGGAAATCTTACTGGAGTGGACCCTTTAGGATGGTAATTTTTTTGATTTTCTCAGCTGTTTAAATAATCAATGAGGAAAACCGGGAAAAAACATAGGAACAACGGAAAAATAGGTACGATAATAAACAAATATTTTTGAAGAAAATACATAATGCATATGTAATTATTGTACTATAATATGACATATATTATTGACAAAGCAACACTATTAATCGAACTTCGCTCATAATCGTTTTTCGTCAGTAACGGATAATCGTTGTGTACAGATATACACTAAATTTCCCCTTTTCCTTCTCAACCTCTTACTTAAAACAGTGGCCCACCCACGTGCGAAATATTTTCGTATTTTTTTTTATTTATTTGGATTTCCTTTAGTACTAAAAAGTAAGAAAACAATACGAATGAATCAAACACTGTGAAGGTGACAACAAAGCGAGCGGCCACGTTCGTATTTTTCGTGTTGTGGTCCCCGTTTGTAGGTACTATTAATCTTAATTTGCGTATTTTTCTTCTCGGTTGTCATGATTCACGATTGGCCTTCGACACTATAATAAATAGTATTATAATAGTAGGGAACAGATTAACGTAAAATATCTTCTACTAATAAATTGATTTGAATAATTTTTGAATAATGTTTTTCTTTTGGGATTTTACTAGAAAAAAGTGTTTATAATCTTTTTTTAGAAATTTCGCTTTTATTGATTTATAAATGTACTCACGCATGTAGCATGTTTCACACACGGAACTCTATACAGAGTCCATATAGAGTTCAGTGGTTCCATATGATACGGGATTAAACGTCTTTTTCTGAAAAAAATGTTTAATACATTTTTGAACTATATTACATGTGACAAATCTCTTTTCATATGGAATAATTGACAAGTTGTTGAACCTATATTATTGGTCATTGTGATTCTAATCCAATTCTTTATTCGCTTCATAACTGAGAATGAGTGTTAACATGATGCATAATTTATAGGTATGGTCAATGCAGTTTGGAAATATGTGTACAAATGTCATTGTCTACAACTCGTATGATATCTTCAATTTCAAAACATTTGTTGTTTGCCATATTTTTTATAACCAGAAAATCAGCTTTGGTGTTGGTTAAGTATTTTCTATAAAATTCAAATTAATTAAAATAGTTGGTTTTCAAAATCTATATTAAATCCCAATATAATTTTGAATTTCATAGGTCACCTCATAGATTACCTAATATATGATATACTTATTAATAAATTAAATATTTTCTTTAAATTAATTTCATAAAATTGTCAATTCCTACACCAACTATTAGACTTTCTGCAGAAAACTTATTTGGCATGTCATTGATCATTGTATAAGGCAAACTGTCATTATTACAAAAGCAGAAAATTACATATTACATATAATAATAACTGAAATGTATTGGTTATTTCTTTTTACATTGTAAAACTTGAAACACAAATATTTGAATTTAGTGATGTTCAATGAAATATTAATACTTTTGGTAAATTCGTATAAATGTATGAGTATAACAGGGCATTTTTTTAGTGAAAATCTACAGCGTGCCAACTCCCTCCCCTTGACAAAGTTCTCCATAAGAAAGTGGATCGAAAATTTCCCTAGATTTCTCCCAGATACCCATCCGCCCACCAATGAGAGTATTTCCTATATAAAATAAAATATTTTATATATTTTATGGCAGTGCTGGGGTAACGGACCTTAATAATCTACAATATTTTATTTTCAAGCAGACATACATTAAGTGACATCAGTAGATTTTACTGTGTATTAATTTGTACTCAAAAACCATAGAAAAATAAATACCTTGGAGTAACTGGAGTACAATAAATATACGTATGTTAACATCTTTTGGTTTGATGAATTTCAGACAAAAACATAA